ACAGATTACTTTATTTAATCCTTGTCTATAAATACAAATTGACTATATTTGCTTCCACTGGAATCTGCTAGCCTTGTTATATATATTAAAATCTTTTAAACTTCAGTCAGGTCATTTCCTTTATTCATCCTGTGGCCAGAACAAAAACATTTCACTCTTTTTAAGACAGAACACTCCCAGAAAGAGTTCCCACTATTCCCTCTTAAAAAAAAATAAAAAAATTATATATTTTATTAATTTTTTACAGAGAGGAAGAGAGAGGGATAGAGTTAGAAACATCGATGAGAAAGAATCATCGATCAGCTGCCTCTTGCACACCCCCTACTGGGGATGTGCCCGCAATCAAGGTACATGCCCTTGACTAGAATCGAACCTGGGACCTTTCCAGTCTGCAGGCCGATGCTCTATCCACTGAGCCAAACTGGTTTGGCCCACTATTCCCTCTTGACAAATATGTACTGTTGCAATTGTCAACAGAAATCAGTTTCAACCTCTGGATGATAGCTTCACCCAGAATCCATATGTTCATCCATTGTTCAGTTTTAAATTCAGCTGTTTAGAGATTCTAATAAAAACATTCTTTTCAGCGTGTTTCAAGAGGGAAGGCACTAACGTAAGGCAATTTGATTTTCAACTTCCTTCTCAGTTCAAGCCTCTTCTAAGGATAGTTGGAGCAGTTTTCTGCCTTTAGGGGCATGAAGCTCCTCTGACCAAATCTGCAGGCTGATGGAGGTGGGGAGGAGTGCTGGTTCCAGGAGAGACACACTGTTGTTACTACCTTTGATGTGAGACTGTAAGTACCAGAAGCCAGAGATCTCTGTTACGGTGCAGGCGACAAATGGCATTCCCACAGAACCTGGAGGAAGGACTCCTGTCTCCTTAGGGCTGATGTGCTGCTCCCAAGAGCACAGCAGACTTTGGAGGGTTGAGGAACATAGGGAAAGGGAATCCTAAGAAGACTTATCAGCCTTGGTTTTGGGCTATAGTTCCCTCACCTGAAAGTGAAATTATTTAATTCCTCATGGTGTAGGAATTAAATACATGGTAACTACGACTGATAATGTCATTGCTGGGGGTTAATAAAACACTTCATATCCTCTCTTTACACATGGATATATTTCAGCCTGTTTACCAATCTCTTTGCTCACCATGCTTCTTGTATCCCACTCCAACTTCTGGATTTGTCTTCTTTTCTGAAGAACAATCCCGAGTTCTTCCAGCAAAATCTGAAAATGTGCTTTTTTGAATACCAATTTATCTATGTTAGAGAATTCAAGGCTAACATCCTTTTTTCTTCTTCTCAGCAATTAGAAAGTATTTGTCTCATTGGTATTGTCAGCTGGGAGAAGGGTGTGTGGTGTCACCTCTTACTTGCCCCCTTCAAGCCCCACCAGGAAGGGCTGGGAAGACATGAGGTTTTTTCTTCCTTTTAATTTCTAATTTGTTGCAAACTATTTTGTAAAGAAAATTTAAAACGTTGCAGCAATATCTAACTGCTCCAAAAGTTGCCTCAAAATTTTTAAATCTCTCCATAACCTGCTAACAAAGTCTGTGTACCAACCTACTCACAGGCTACTTTTGTATAGTACTGCTGAAAAGTATATTGGCAGAACATTTGGGGGGCTTTGTATAGATAGGGTGTACCAAAAAGTGTATACACACTTTGAATAATTACTAGTTCCAATAGGTAAAATCTAAAAAGAAACATCAACCGAGTTATCAGAAAAAAGTGTGTGTACATTTTTTGGAGACACCTGTATTTGTGTGATTGGGGGCAACTGTGGGCGGATAATGAATTAGAGAAGACACTTCTGATAATAGTGGCTTGTATGTGGATAGTAAGAACCTTCTGTGAGGGTGTAATTAAATATTTTAAGTCATAGTCTGCCTAGCTAGTAAGCATGAAAAGAGGGGTGGGGTGGTAGAAATTCAGGAGCCAGTGAAAAGGCCACAGGATAGTCTAACTTTACAAAAATCTGACAGTCCTCCAGGGGAAGAATGGGTCCTACAACTTGCTTCCTGTCACTATAGTCCTCCGACAGCACAGGACAGTAGGTAAAGGGCAAGTCAGGAATATTAATCATAAAAGATTAGGGAAATTTGCATGTTTTCTTTCTCCATCTCCCTGCAAATAAGTGGATCACATCATACATGGGAACGTATGCTTAGGAACTAGCCAGCAAACACTTTAATACTGTCCTAACTGAAGCAGGAAGATCAAGCTGCTGAAATATATTTAAAGCTGTGATTTAAATATAGGTCTTATTTTCAGGGGATGTCTTATCTTTCCATGCGCTAGGTCTTATTATAAGAGGATGTTTTATTTTCGGGGAAACACAGTAAATACCACTAAGTTCAAGATTTGAAAACTTATAAAGGTTTTTTTTTTTTTTTTTATATAATATAGAGAACAAAAATATACTCCTCTTTATAAGAAGAAAGATTTCTAAGTAATGAGCTTTAAGGTTTGCAAAAGTAGTGTTGGGTAGACTGTCTAAAAGCATATTATAGCTACTTTCAATCTTAAAGTAGCTGAGATGATATGGTCCAAACCTTCAATATTTCAATCTTTAAACTGCATTTTTTATCACTATTAGACTCAGAAATACAATGTTTTCCTGCAATTGTGGTTTATTATAATCTTATTCCATTTTCTCAAAGTCCATTCAATGCACTTATACTACTTCAGTAATTACCATGCTGCCTGGAAAAACAAGTGAACAGTTTATTAAGAATTAAATGAGGGTATGGAATGTGATACAGTACAAGTAAGACACTCTAGATGGATATAAAGTACTACTCACATAAAAAGTTAAATCTCACTTCAAAAAAATTCACAAAGGAAAAAGCAATTCCATCATTATAAAGTAAGATATTTCATGCAAAAACTCCAAACAAATCCCCTAACCCCTCCCCAACCCCCCTCCAAGCTCCCAACAAACAAAAAGCTATCTGAAAATATCACCATGCTAACATATTAACCACAATATAAACATTTATAGAAAAGCAACACACTAATTAAGCAATGGATTAGATGAAACAACACAAGCTGTAATATTGTAAACTCATAGACCATAATAATTTTACATGATAAGCAATTCCAGATTCACTCATAGGGTGAGGATTATGGGCTAAATAATGAGAGATAAGGTATGTAAATATAAACTCCATCAATTCATCTTATTATCTTCTAATTATAAAACATGGAAGCTTCCAGAATCTGAAAAATTATATAAAACTTGGCATACTTCATTTGAGTTCCAAGAAATGACTTTAGGATCATGTTTGCAATTATTAGAAAGCTGCATAAAACCAGTTAAAGAATAGGATTAACTTCAAATGATAATCACAACTTACATGGCATTTTCACAACTTACACGGCATTTTATGGGGTAGCGTTCCCTCTACAGCTGCCAAATAACTCACATGATAGAAACTCCAGATATGTATTTACTCTGATTAACTCTTAATCAAGGCAAAAAAACACCATGATTTTCTAGCACTTTATGTACAAGTTACTGTAAAGGACCAATTAGTTAGAAACTGAATAAAATGTAAAACAAAGGTAAATTGGAGAATGGGAACATCCTCATTTACAAAGACTTGAGTAGGTAAAATGCTTGCCTTGACTTATGAGGAAGCTAGTCAACAAATAAGACTGCCAAGCCGTAACTTGCGTCTCTGTACCAAGATGCCTTAGCATTTTTCATGGAAAAGAGTTTACATTAAAAAATAGGAATGGCATTTTATGGGATAGTATATCTTCAACTAGGTGAAATGTCATGAGGAGGTGGCCCAGAGCAGAAAGCACCTTTCTCACTGGACCTGCCCATTCAGGCCAGGAGAGAACTGGGACACTTACACTTCATGTTCTGGGTGGAGCTTACCTACTGTGTACAGATTGGGCATAAGTATAAGAGTAAGGCCAAGGAAAAAGAACAGGAAAAAAATACTTAGGACAAAAAAACCCACCCACTCCCATTTGCAATTTTTTCCTGCTTACCTTTACAGTGATTAGAACATATTGAAAAATTATTCAAGATTATCCTTCCCACCTCTGAAATTTAACTTCCTACTTATATTCCATGAAAAGAACACCATAATTGTTCAGAGGCAGGACATAACCTTTCTAAAAAATAAAAATAAAAGCATTTGCTCTAATTTTCTCAGAATGACATGAAAAATTTTCCAACGTGAAACCTAGAGTTTACACTAGTAAAGAAGCATCTTTAATATTTAGGACTACCATAGTGAGAGCTCTTTGGAATGTATCTTATACATATAAAGGTAGCACAAATTAAATCCTCAGAGAGTTCATGAAATAGGCTCTTAAATGAGAAAGACTTCTAATGAGAGATAAATGCTTCCATTAGCAAATTAAATGTGATAAATAAATCTTTCCCAACTGACAAAGTCTCTGCTGACAACTCAACACAGCATCTGAAATCAAATGTAAGGACCAATCATGATGATGCAGGATGAAGTGTAGATGAGCGGTACACATGAAAAAAATCTGTAACCACTGCAATTCTGAAACAGTAGATTTATATTACAAAGCAATGTAAATAAATATCGGGCTAGTACAAAAGCTCTTATTTACAGTTTTACAAATGAAACTGTATTCAGTGTAAATGCTGTGTTTTAAAGAACACAGTACTGGATTAGTAAAATGAGTTCTGTTGAGGGATTACAGTTTCTGTTAGAATCAATGCATAATGTATAAAAGATTCAAGTTAACTGTTTATAATTTAGTACAGACAAACCCAGTTTTAACCTGGAATGGCATCTGTTAAAGTGCTGAAAAACAGGAAATATTTAGAAAACACTGTACATTATTAAAGCTTTATCAAGTCAGAATGTTAAAACTTCTTTCACATTTTTTATCCTTTTGCCACAGGCTTGTCGAACATGATGATTTTTCTCAGCAAAGGAGTAAAAATTAAGAGGCCACCAGCTGTTTCGATGATTTTAGGTTCAGTGGAATTAGTTTCCTTAAATAATTATCCATCAACCATACCTTCAGGCCTCACAATCTGGTAAGTAATTAAATATTCAGGATAAGCCTAAAAGAGAAAGATTAATTAAAATATTGGTAAACAAACAAAAAAATTTTTTTTTTTTTAAAGAGACTTACCATAAGGATTCCTAAGCTTCAGGGAAGAAGTTCTAACTTAGTGCTGTGGATCAGATCAATGTGAGAGCATTTTCTCAAAATACCTCTTCCTTGATTCCTATCCCTTAGATTCTTCAGGTCTGGAAGGAGTGCTAAGTATGTGTTTGTCTGTTTTTAATGACCTAGATCAGTGGTCGGCAAACTCATTAGTGAACAGAGCCAAATATCAACAGTACAACAATTGAAATTTCTTTTGAGAGCCACATTTTTTAAACTTAAACTTCTTCAAAATAAACTTGCCCAGGCCATGGTATTTTGTGGAAGAGCCACACTCAAGGGGCCATAGAGCTGCATGTGGCTCATGAGCCGCAGTTTGCCGACCACGGACCTAGATGGTTCTAATACACATCCCCAATTCTAGAGATGCTTTTGACCAGATCTGTGTCACTAAGAGCAAGAGGGAATTACACATTTCTTTGCTATAGGCAGATTAACTATGAAATATAGAATTCTACTTAACTGTATTTTAGAAAAGGTGAGAGAAAAAAAAATCCAGTATAACTGGAAAAATCTGAATAAGGCCTGAAGATTAGATAGATTTTATATCAATGGTATTTTCCTGATTTTGACAATTTTAAGAGAATCTCCTTGTTTTTAGGAAATACACTTGCAGTATAGATTTAAGGGTTAAAAAAAAATGCCTATGTTCCACCAAGGGTAAAGGAACTGTCCTCTTAAATAGGTCAGAAAAAAAAAAAGTATAGCCCTAACCGGTTTGGCTCAGTGGATAGAGCATCGGCCTGCGGACCCAGGTTCGATTCTGGGTCAAGGGCATATACCTTGGTTGTGGGCACATCACCAGTAAGAGGTGTGGAGGTAGCTGATAGACGTTGCTCTCTCACTGATGTCTCTCTCTCTCTCCCTCTCCCTTCCTCTCTTTAAAAATCAATGAAATATATTTAAAAAAGAAAAAAAAAAATATAAACACCTACTCAGGAAGGAGAGACTGATAAAGAAGAGAGAATATTAAAATGTCAACATCTGGGCCCTGTCCAGTGTAACTCAGTTGGTTGGGCATTGTCCCAGAGGTTGAGGGTTTGATTCCTAATCAGGGCTCAATTCCTGGTGGAGGGGAGGGTGTGCAGGAGGCAGCTAATGACGTATCGCTCTCACATAGATTTCTCCCTCTCTCTTCCTCTCTCCCTAAAAATCAATTTAAAAAAAAATCTTTAAAAAAATGAACATTTGAAAAATCCGGGGAAAGAAAATTCTATAACTTTTCTGTAAGTCAAATTATTAAAAAAAAAAAAAAATTAAAAAGAAACCCATTTCTCAAGACAATATACCTTGTTGAGATTAGTAAGAAGAGGTTAAAGTATGGCTCTAAAGTATTTTTGAAGATGAACAAATAAAAATGAGTTACCTGTTCTCCTCTGTAAATAACATATTCAGCTAACGCTAGGCCATTTACACTGGGTCGACCGGTGACTGAGTGATGTCCTGGAGGAGAATGTGCCATTTTCATTGCACTGAACTGCAGGAACGATTTCCCCAAGGTTACCCGGCAGAAAAGCAGCTGCCTATAGAGGGAAATGGAAAAGATCTTATTGAATACAAAGTAGCATATGACAATTTTATTTGTGCTATCTAAGCTTTTTAATACTCTTATACTTAAACATTTATGATTGTTTTTATCATTTCACTCTAAATGAACTTTATAAGAATGTCTTCTACTATTCTCATTAATGAAAGAATTTTTCACTTAAATTATAAAACCTGAAAATGTAATAACTATAGATATCCAGACTAAGCCTTCCTCTTCAGCAAAAGCACAAACCATAGCCAGAGTGGGAAGGAGGAAGAGGTTTAAGGGGCTTCTATGAAGTGGCTTGTAAAGAACATTTTTCCAATTAAGTCCAATAGATTCTACATTCAAAATATATTTACAATCTATTCTCTTCTCTTAAATGTTCACCTGGACTATAACAATAGCCTCTGAATTAGTCTTTCTGTTTCTACTCTAATTCATGTCTAAATTATTTTCCATCCAAGCAACCAGTGATTTAGGAAAGATACAACAAAAACCAAAAAACATAAATCAGATCACATCAGTTTTCTGCTTAAACCTTCTTAGAGGCTGCTCACTGTCCTTACATGAAAATCCAAATTTCTTACAATGGTACCAAATTCTCTAATTTTAATGTGTTCTCCATGACCCAGACACATTTTCTTCTTTCACATAGTCAAACTTTCTTCCCCCACAGCCATGATACATAATATGCTCTTTACTCTATCACTCTTCAAATGGCTAACATTCATTTTGCAGGTTTCAGGTGAAATGTTACTTCCTCAACTAGGTCTTTCCTATAAGAAATTTAAGTAAGTTACTATCCCACTCCCCTCAGGCATATATGATTGGCTTTCTTTAGTTCCAAAGAACCATCTCTGGTTCCTGATTTTGGTGGACAGTTGATGATTCTATTCTCCAAAGAGATATAGTCTATTCTTGCTATTTAGCATTCAGACAATAAAAGTAAAAATAGCAGTGTTCATTTTATAGAATCTCAAGAAATTATAAGCCTTCTAACCAGTCCAATTTATGATATAAAACAGAAATGGGTGAGAAGTCATACCCAGGAGGGCTAACTTCAGACACCTACACAAAGTCTAAATTTAGGGGGAGAACAACAAGAACTAAACAAAAACAGATCTCTCTCTCTATGACTATAGTTCACCTCTGCAACCTCTCAAAATCAACTGGGAAGCCTTTTAAAAATCCCAGTGCCCAGATCATACCCCAGTCCAATTAAATGAGACTCTCTGAAGGTGGGACACAGGTATTCATTTTTAAAGCTTCCTGGGTGATTCCAATGTGCTGCTAAGACCGAGAACTACTGCTCTAGGTTGTTGTTTTTTTTCTTCTAGATCTGTAATCAGAAGCATCAGGAAACTTGGTAGAATTCAAGTTCTAGGACCCCACCCCAGAACTATTAAATCAGCAACTCAGAAGATAGGGCCTGTGAATCTGCATTTCATTAACCTTCTAGGTAATTCTGAAGCTTGCTAATGTTTGATAACTACTGCTCTAGGTCTTTATAAGCAATGCCCTAACTGTAGAATAAATCTCAATGTTTGATCTTGATTTTTCAAATGGTCAAAAATTATTTACCTATCAGGAGTTTATCAATTATAGCCAAGTTATTCGAATGCTTTTAACAACTGAGTTAGACCAGAATAACTACTTTGTACTTTTCCCTCCTTTTTCTTATTTACACTTCATGAATTTGCATGCCATCCTTACACAGGACCATGCTAGTCTTCTCTGATTCCAATTTCAGTATATATGCTGCTGAAGCGAGCACACAAAGTAGTTATTTAATAATAATGTGCTTTCTATAGGATTGATGTGTTTTATTATAACTTTTCAAGTAGTAATATTATAAATTGAAGATTATGAGCATATCATAATGGAAGAGAGACTTCTTTATGCACTGCCATGAAATAATTAGGCTTGGCAAGTAGTACCATTTAGCATGTGAATACTAGAATTTTTAGAGTTCATAGTCCCACAATATTCAAGAGCCACAATAAAATCTCTTTCATGCCCAATGATATGTTCTTCTCCATATTCTTTAAAATACCAAATGTACTAATGATTAAAAGAGTTAAACAGATCAAGTGCTTAGAACTGTGACTGGCCCATAAAGTTCACCTAGACTTGCCCCCCAAAATTTTCAATATGGAACCAGTTCTAATCTGATTCTTATAAAAATAAATGAGAACAAGTGATCTCTTACCTGTGGCAAATGTAACAAGATCTGTCTTTGTGAACTGGACACCCAGTACCTCCTCCAATTCCATATACATACTGATTGCTTTTAGAAGAGTTTTCAGCAAAATAAATCCCAGCTCCGAACATGCCACCTATGTAGGCATGCCTTTCATCAAAGCCTTTATGGATAATTGCATTCACAAAGGGAGACCCTAAAACACATACAGATGAATAATAACTTTATCTTAAAAGAAAAAGAATAAAAAGTAAAGCTTCTTAGAAGTTAAACTCTTAAATATACATACACAACTACAATATAGCAAAATCATAAAGTTAATTGTCAGCCGATTCACTACTTCAGAATAATTATTTTAGAGGCATTACAAGTCAATCAATGTTCTAACAGGGTGGAAGTAGTTGATCTGGTAAAATCAAGACATACATATTCAACTAGAATAACAAACAGATCACTTGAAATATAAATGCTAGAGTTATCAAATTCCAGACCCTAAATCTATGCAAATCAGAACCAATAATTTTATAATTCACCTCATATAGCAAAGATGAGTTCATTAGGTCTTAGAATGACACCCATGTCTATTTACGTTTTTTAGATATCAAAAGTAACCAAAGTAATCTTTTTAATGTCCATTCTCTTCTTTATACCTTGCTTTTCCTATATTTCCAATGCTCTGCCTTTCACCACCAAAGCTGCTTTAACAGATTCCATCTGCAAAAGAGGTGAGCCTTCATTCCCTGCACATTGACTTCTTTCTCCTTCTTCCTTGCACGTGTGCAAAGACAGGAGCTTAGCCAAAGGGGAGGAACTGAGCATGGGAACCGGGCCAGGGAGTGAAGTCAGGATGGGAGCTGGGAAAAGCCAATATAAAATAGCTATCTGATTCATCAACATCAGTGTCCCTGTTCATTATGGGATAGAAAAATACAATGAATTCCTCTTTACAGAAACACCAAAGAACAGAATCACTTATTTGGGATATGAATAACTAAAACCATTTATTAAGTCAATACGAAAATATTTTGCTCTGTGCCAAGATATTATTATCATGATGATTTTTAGGCTTTGGAATGAGAAATACCATTTAGATATTATGCACCATTTTAGAATGCTATAGACATTCTTCCAGAGATCATCAAATTTAAATGGTGTGCTTTATAGAACCTGACAGGTCTCTAGAAATTTTCTGCAATCAAGGCCAAATGAAGGAAAAGAATGAAGATACTATATAGGGTAATGTGCTTGAAGATTTGCTAAATATTGCAATTTCTCAGAATGATCATAAAAAGCAAAATATTACATAAAGAAAAAAAGGCCCTAGCTGGTTTGGCTCAGTGTATTGGCCTGCAGACTCAAGGGTCCTGGATTTGATTACAGTCAAAGGCACATGCCCCGGTTGGGAGCTCAGCCCTGGTAGGGAGCATGCAGGAGGCAGCCAATCAATGATTCCCTTTCATCATCAATGTTTCTATCTCTTGCTTCCTCTCCAAAATCAATAAAAAAATATATATAAAAAAAAGAAAAAGAAAAAGAAACTAGGACTTAAAAAAAAAAAAAAAAGGAAAAATATGAATAGTTAACATTCCCATTTCTGTATTTTTCCCATTATGGCAATCTTATTTATATAAGCTATCCATTGGAAAATATACAAATTCAAAAGAGGTTGAAAATACGAATATAGCCCAGCCTGCATGACTCAGTGGTTGAGTGTCAACCTATGAACTAGGAGGTTCTGGTTTGACTCCCGGTCAGGCTCAATCTCCAGTGGGGTTGTGAAGGAGGCAGCTAATCAATAATTCTCTCATCACTGATGTTTCTATCTCTCTCCCCCTCTTCTCTGGTATTAATGAAAAACAAACACAAAACAACAACAAAAGAAAGAAAAAAGTGAATATAAATATAAAATTTACAGAAATAATCTTTTAAAATGACAAGAGGACTATATAGATTCATTACTATCTCATTCTTAACAAAAAGCTATTCTAATGTGGGGAATGGAGGTAAGGTTGGAGGAGAGCAATCTTACCATGAAATAGCATTCTTTCATTGGCATGGTTGTGGTTTTCTTCGGAAACTTCTTTTCTCCTGTGAGTATACCTTTCCCATAGTTTCTTGTTACAAACTTTCTGAATCTATAAAAAAGAAACCAGAAAAGAACATCTTTTGCTCATAATAATTACTTACTTTCTTGCTTATCTTAATCAGAAAAATGGGCCACATAGCCAAAAGAGGCAAGACTTTTCTCTAAAATGTAAACTATGTTATTTTAATTAACTAAAGATGGAAATATAGCTACAGTTTGGAACCTGAAAACTTCAAAAGGAAAAAAGCTATATAGGCTGATAATTCCATTAATTGATTAATATACTTTCATTCTCATAATTTACAATTATTACTAAATATCTCCAACTCAGATTTTTCTGTATATAAGTATTAAAAAGATAATATTTTTTCCCGTTTTATCTGTTTTTAATTAAAACATTTTAAATAGCACACACCAATAAACATTCTTAAAATACACACACACACATCCTCTATTATTCCCTCTATCTTTCCCTAACCCTCCCATTCCTAAAATTTTTGTCTGGAGAAGAGTTTAAGATGAATGATAGTCTCATCTGGAGTATTTACAAGGTCAAATTTCACAATCCTTGAGCTGTTTCTTAGCCATAGCCCCTGCTGGTCCTAGAGCACATCTGGAAGCTGGTTTTAGTTCTGAATCAAAATAAGTCAATATACCGCCACAAACAAAATCGAGAAATACAACGGGCACAAGGGAATCTTATTTAGGTTAAAAAAAAAAAAAAAAAGTAACACAATTAAAAGTCTTACCATTGGAAAAAAAAGTTTCATTAAATATTGCATTAAAATATAGAGGAAAAAACAGCTTTCTCAAATTCAACTACTAGCATACCTCATAGATATGGTAGATTCATTTCCAGACCATCACAATAAAGCAAGTATTACCAAAAAGAGAGTTGTTACATTTTTGTTGGTGGAAGGTCTGTCCTTCAACTTGCAAAATTTGTGAAGCTCAATAAAGTAAAGTGCAATAAAGCGAGATGTGCCTGCATTTTGGATATCAAACCTATGTTCTCTCTCCTGCCCTTACCTTTAACAACTGCTTATTACTGTTTGCAAAGTACACTTGACTGAAAATTTGCTTGTAATAGGCATAATTATTTGTTGTATTAAAAAAATTATTATATGTGGCCAAAACCAGTTTGGCTCAGTGGTAGAACGTCAGTCTGTGGACTGAAAGGTCCCAGGTTCGATTCCGGTCAGGGGCATGTACATTGGTTGCGGGCACATACCCAGTAGGGGGTGTGCAGGAGGCAGCTGGTCGATGTTTCTCTCTCATCGTTGTTTCAAGCTCTCTATCTCTCTCTCTTCCTCTCTGTAAAAAAAAAAAAAAAAAAAAAAAATCAATAAAATATATATTAAAAAAAATTATTATATGTGTCCATGAGTGGAAATACCAAAATGTCATTCTTATGTCATCTTATATAATAAAAGCCTAATATGTTATGTGACTGACAAACTGTTTGACCAGTTGCTATGATGCACACTGACCACCAGGAGGTAGATGCTCCGACCAGTAGGTTAGCTTGCTGCTAGGGTCCAGCTGATCAGGACTGGGCAAGACGAGTCGGAAACGCCCTGGGGCCCTCCCGCGGTCCCACCGACTGGCCTGCACCTTCTCGACTCCGTGACCTCTTGGGGGATATCATAGAGCTAGTTTCGGCCCAATCCCCGCAGGCCAGGACGAGGGACCCCACTGGTGCACCAATCCATTCACTGGGCCTCTAGTACTATGATAAAAACTAACAAAAAACCTTAGTCCCAACCCTGGCCAGTCCTGGGTTTGATTCCAGTCAAGGGCACATGTCATACCTTGGTTGCAGGCAACCAATCGATGTGCCTACTTCTCTCTGTCTCTCCCCTGCCCTTCCACTCTCTAAAAATCCATGGGAAAAAAATATTCTCAATTGAGGATTAACAAAAAATAAAAATAAAAAAATAAAGGAACACACAGAAATATGATCCTTTACTTGAATAATGCATTTGTTTTATCTTTTTATTTTTAAAATATATTTTATTGATTTTTTTTTTTTTTTTTTAACAGAGGAAGGGAGAGAGCTAGAGAGCTAGAAACGTGGATGAGAGAGAAACATCGACCAGCTGCCTCTTGCACACCTCCTATCGGGGATGTGCCCGCAACCAACGTACATGCCCTTGCCCGGAATCGAACCTGGGACCTTTCAGTCTGTAGACAGACGCTCTACCACTGAGCCAAACCGGCTTCGGTTGTTTTAAATAGTAATCTAATTTCTAATAGTATGAGCATAGTAACCTCAATGTATAGTTTTAATATTCACTAACTCTAAAATACAGCATCTAATATTATACTCACAATATAGTATATTTGTGAAATAGTAATACAACAACCGAAAGATAAAGCTCACTCTTGAGTTTAAAATCTAGATATTTGCTACATTTTAATTCTAGCCATCTTAAATTTATAATGATTAGGAATACTAGTTTATCAATGTAAAAAAAAAGAATATATCAATGTAATTATTACAAATCATTATGCATCTCAAGTAGAATGTACACTTTTTGCTTGCTATAGTTAAAAACAGCTAAGTTGGAAAAGGTCTCGAGAAGAGTCAATGGTTTCAACAGGAGGACTTTTGTTAGAATGACTTAAAAACATTTTTGAAAGACTATTTTTGGAAAAGATGAAGGTATTGAGGAAGTACAATTAAAATTATAAAAAAGTGAGCCGAAACCGATTTGGCTCAGTGGATAGAGTGTTGGCCTGCAGACTGAAAGGTCCTGGGCTCGATTCCGTTCTAGGGCATGTACCTTGGTTGCAGGCACATCCCCAGTGGGGGGTGTGCAGGAGGCAGCTGGTCAATGTTTCTCTCTCATCGACGTTTCTAACTCTCTTTTCCTCTCTGTGTAAAATCAATAAAATATATTAAAAAAATAATAAAATTATAAAAAAGTGATATATATGTTGACTCACAGAAACCTGGAGTAGCCAGTTAGGACTTATCATTACCCCAAGATAAAGCATAATCGCTAAACTTGAATATTTCAACAAGCACTGAATTACTGATCATAAAAACAGTACAGGATTTTCAGAATCTTAACCTTTCTAAGGGTATATTACTTCCCAAAATATTCCCTGTGCAATGTCACAGACTTAATAGGCTGGATAGATCATTATATTCTTATGAAAGTTAATTATGTTTTAGGCTTTGAAAACTATGGTCTCAGCAAACTATTTTTACTAACTTATTACCTTGAGAATATTGTATCTGTTGAAGATTCCACCTGCATGACCTCCATCTCTGTGCTCTCGGACTGTACTTTGCATCTGATGGAAAAGAACATTTAAAATATTTAGTTATGTCTTTTCTGATTTGGGGAACATGGTTCTTGACTTATATGACTCTATTTTTTGAATATAAAATGGATTTTTAATATTTTTATGGTTTAAGAAATATGAGTTCTATAAGTTCACAAGTACTATTTTCTAGTGATAGCTGTTAGCTGGTACAACCAATCTGAAAATGTATTTATAGGTGAAAACTATATAATGCAAACTAAAAGAAGATAAAACAACTAGAAGTACAGGGAGCTAAACATACAAAGCTAACTAACCACTTGACATACTAAAATACAAAGATTTTATTTGTTCCCATTTGTTTTACCGTATTAAAGCAAAATTTGTATTTTATCAAGAGTTGGAATTTCTTGGGTTTTAGAACTAAATCTCACTCAATTTTGTATCTTTGTACTCAACTCACACATATATAGGATACATGTTCTTCAAAGTGTAAAGCACTATTAAAAGGTCTCAGTGGATCATGAGTTTTGTAGAAAGAAATTGGAAGAAAATTTTTCTGGGTGTGTCCTCCACTATTCTGGGTCCTGTCTGAGATACTGGGCTTTGCAATTGCCTTCACAAAGGGAGGTGACATTAGCATCTTCTTTCAAATGACAGCAACCTCTTCTCGAATGGAATTCTGTGTTAGCATTAATTGTAGTGTTGAACTGGAATTAAATTATTGGAATTAAGGTTTACTGAAGGAATCTATCTTAAATGCTGATTTTGAAAGTTTTCCAGGTAGAGAAGAGTTAGGGACAATTAAAATACTTATGACATTGGGAGGCGGAGCTTGAAGATGGCGACCGAACAGTCGGACCTGTTCTGACTCTGGTCCCAGAACGGATAAAGGGGGCTTCTGAGTCACTCAGGGAGTGTTATTTGGCAGCTAAGGGACAGCGGAGCTCTCAAGGAGGGTAAGGGAGGGTCCGCTGGACAGGATTTCCTGACCAAGCGGCCAGGACGGCCGCGGCCGCAGTGGCAGCGGCGGCAGCAGCGGCAGCGGCAGCAGCGGCGGCCGCAGCGAGCGGTGGGCTGTGGGCGTGGAGGAAGGGCTGCATTGCCTTGCCAGGAAGGAAAAAGCTTCTCTGAGGCGTGGAAAACGCACAGCCCGGAGGTCCATCGAGCAGCTGAGACTCCCAGAGCTGCGCAGACACGTGGATTCCGGGGAGATCTTCAGTCACCCACGGAAAGGTCAGAGTTTGCGGGGATAGCCTAAGGGATCTGGGTTCCGCAGCGGCGAGCTCCGGCCCCGCCTCCACTACGGCAGCCGGGGAGCTCCGGCCCCGCCTCCACTACGGCAGCCGGGGAGCTCCGGCCCGCCTCTGCTACGGCAGCCGGGGAGCTCTGGCCCCGCCTCCACTGTAGACGGGTAGGCGAACTACCGCCCGCGGAGGCGGAGCGGAGCCCAGAGAAGGCTGCAGCGACACCTAGTGCTGGGTTTGAAGTAATCCCCCCCAGAAGAGGGGCTTTTTTTAAAACGCCAGGGGACACGGGACAGAGTGTTAAGAATCGCGGCTGTCCCGCCAAGGGCGGAACATCTGGACACCTTGGCACCGGTTCCCATTCATCCCCTTGCATCTGAATACTAGAGAAGAACTGCCCAGTTGGGCATAACCGGGGAAATTGTAGGGGGAATTTGCCTTCTGGAAACAAGGGATTGGAGCCAGAAGACATAGTCCTGGAGCCAGTTGAGCCATAGAGAAAGAAGGCCAGAGCAACCAAAAAGACTGGGAGGTCAAACCGGAAACACTGACACCTAAGAGCCGAATTACAAACTGCCTTTTTTTTTTTTTTTTTTTTTCTTCTTTTTCTTTTTTTTTTTTCTCTTCTTTTTTCTTTTTTCTTTTTTTCTTTCTTTTTTCTTTTAATTAATCAAAAATAAACGGACACAAATAACTAAGATATAACCTGCTTAAAATTAAGGTTTACCTTACAAAACTGAGGTGCAGTGGAATGCTGGGGACTGCAAGACTGTCTGATCCGAGAATCAGGAGGGCCAAATACATTAACAGAGGAAGTGAATGACCACTTGCTGGACATTTTTATGCTAATTTTACTATTCTTTATTTTATTTTCATTTTTTACATCTTTAATTTTCACTTTTTATAGCATTTACTTAAGAAAAATTTTTTCTATTTTTTTCCTTACTTCATTTTACCTTTTCAATTATTACATTTTTCAATCTCTATCATCACTATTACTACTGCTATTTTGCAATTTTTGTTTCTTTCCTTTTTTTTTTTTTTTTGGTTCTTTGTTTTTTCTTGTTTGTTTGTTTGTTTGTTTGTCTGTTTGTTTCCTCTCCAGTACCATTTTATTTTTTTTATTTTTTCTGTATTTTACATTGGGAATAACCTCCATTCTATTTTAATCACTACTATAGCATCATTCAACCCTATCTCAACTTGACCTTTACACCATCACTCTCTTACTAAACTTTACCCTGTTAGTTGACGGTTTATCCTATCCCTTTCCGGCTCTAGATTTTCCTCTATTCTTTCTGTAAACCCCTTGCTAAAGCTCTCACTATACGTATAGACCTAAGTTCCAACCCCTGATCCAAGTGTATAAATACCAATTTCTGTACTATATTAACTAGTTAAAAAAAAAAAAAAAACTGTTCTCCCCTCTATCCTTTGCGCATTGTTTGTGTGAGGGTTGATTATTGTGAATTTTTATGCTTTTTAGTGAAATGGTTATGCTTATTCCTGTGTTGTTATTGTTGCATTGTATTTTTTTTTAAATCCTCTGTTTTTATTTGTTTCTATTACTTCTGTATATCATAGCCTTACTTAATAATAGTGGATATTGTAGTTTGTATTAATATCCAAGTATTGTTACTGGCATTGGCTGGGTTCAGTAGTTGTTCTATGGCAATTATCTCCACATATATATAGTTTGTTTCCCATTTCTCTTTTAGTTTGCTTCTCTCTCTCTCTCTCTCTCTCTCTCTCTCTCTCTCTCTCTCTCCTTTCTTTTTTTCCCTGTTTTCCAACTTTATTTTGTCATTACTTTTGTTCTTCTCTTTCTATCTCTTTATCCTTCTTTTTTTTTTTTTTTTTCTTAATTTTTTTTTTTTTAAATTTTAATTTTATAAAAAATTTTCTTTATTTTATTTTTACCTTTCTTCCTTCTCCCCTAACCCCTAAGTTGCCTTTCTCTAGTGGTCACCTTTATTTGAGGTTATTAATATTGTAAATACATTCCTGTTAAGTGCCTCTTGTGTTGTACCTGGTAGTGTTGTATATTGTACCTTTAAATCAACGCAGAAGAAGGAACACCACATAACCAGACACCCTGAAAAGAGAGGCCATGGGGAGACAAAAACATAGTCTGCACATAAAAGAAAAGCAGGCATCACCAGAAAAGGAAGTAGAGTCAGAGGCAACCAGCCTACCAGAGCAAGAATTCAGAATAATGATCATAGGATGGCTAAAAAGAATGGAAGAGAAATTTGACAATAACCAAGAAGAAATGAGGAAGAACCACGAGGAATTGAAGAAGAACCATGAGGAATTGAAGAAGAACCAAGAGGAAATGAAAAATGGCATCGCTACCATGAAGAACTCAATAGAAAGCATCAAGAGTAGACTAGATGAAGCAGAGGACCGCATCAGTGAGCTAGAAGATAAGATGGAAAAATATACCCAAGTAGAGCAACTTCTAGAAAAAAAGATTAAAAAGCAGGAGGAGAGCCTACGGGAGCTTTGGGACAATACAAAACAAAACAATATTCGAATAATAGGGGTTCCAGAAGGAAAGGAAACTGAGGTAGACATGGAAAAAGTATTTCAAGAAATAATGACAGAAAACTTTCCTGAAATAGAGAAGAAAAAACCCACACAAATCCAAGATGCTCGCAGAGTCCCAAGCAAAATGAATCCCAGAAAACAGACTCCAAGGCATATTATAATTAAATTGGCAAACAACAACGACAAAGTAAGAATCTTAAAAGCACCAGAGAGAGACAGAAAGTTACATACAAAGGAACCCCCATCAGACTAGCAACTGATTTCTCAACGGAAACTTATCAGGCCAGAAGGGAATGGGATGAAATATACAAAGTCATGCAAAGAAAGGGTCTGAATCCAAGAATACTGTACCCAGCAAGGCTATCAATCAAAATTGAAGGGGAAATCAGGAGCTTCACAGACAAAAAAAGACTGAAGGAATTTATCTCCACCAAACCAGCAATGCAAGAAATGCTAAGGGGTCTACTGTAAAAATAAAAGAAATATTAAGTGAAGAAGGAACATGGGTATAGATTAAAAATGGCGTCAAATGAGTACCTATCATTAATAACTTTAAATGTAAATGGTTTAAATGCTCCAATAAAAAGACATAGGGTAACAGATTGGATAAGAAAACAAGACCCATACATCTGTTGTCTACAAGAAACCCACCTCAGAAAAAAAGATGCACACAGACTGAGGGTGAAGGGATGGAAAAAAGTTTTCCAGGCAAACGGAAATGAAAAAAAAGCTGGGGTAGCAATACTTATATCTGACAAATTAGATCTCAGATTGAAGGACATAATAAGAGATAATGAAGGCCACTTCATAATACTAAAGGGAACAATCCAAGAAGAAGAAATTACCCTGGTAAATATATATGCACCCAATACAGGAGCAACCAAATACATAAAAAAACTGCTGGAGGACATTAAGGGAGAGATTCATAGCAATACAATCATAGTAGGAGATTTTAATACCCCTCTGTCACCCTTCGACAAATCATCTAAACAAAAAATCAGCAAAGAAATATCAATCCTAAATGACTCACTAGACCAGATGGAATTAATTGACATCTTCAGAACACTCCACCCCAAAGCCGCAGAATATACATTCTTCTCAAGTGCACATGGGACATTCTCAAAGATAGACCACATTTTGGGACATAGGCAAAGTCTCTTCAAATTTAAGAAGATAGAAATCGTATCAAGTATCTTCTCAGACCATAATGGCATAAAACTGGAAATTAACTACAATAAAAATAATCCAAAGAAATCAAACACATGGAGATTAAACAGCATGCTATTAAACAAGGACTGGGTTACCAGAGAAATCAAGGAAGAAATTAAAAACATCCTGGCAACAAATGACAATGAAAACACAACAATCCAAAATCTATGGGACACAGCAAAAGCAGTTTTGAGAGGGAAGTTCATATCCTTACAAGCCTATTGCAAAAAACTAGAAAAAAGGGTAACAGATGATCTAACTCTACAACTCAAAGAATTAGAAAAGGAGCAACAAGAAAAGCCCAGTGTAAGCAGAAGGAAGGAAATAACAAAAATCAGAGCACAGATAAACGACATAGAGACCAAAAAAACAATACATAAGATCAACAAAACCAAGAGCTGGTTTTTTGAAAGAATAAACAAGATAGATGAACCTCTAGCCAGGCTAACCAAGAAACAAAGAGAGAGGACCCAAATAAACAAAATCAGAAATGAAAGAGGTGAAATAACAACAGACCCCACCGAAATACAACAGATTGTTACAAAATACTACGAACAACTCTATTCCAACAAACTGAACAACCTGGACGAAATGGACATATTCCTAGAAAAATACAACCTTCCAAAACTCAATCAGGAAGAATCTAAAAATCTCAATAGACCAGTGACTTGGGAAGAAATTGAAACAGTCATCAAAAAGCTTCCAGCAAACAAAAGCCCAGGGCCTGATGGCTTCACAGGAGAGTTTTACCAAACATTCAAGGAAGAACTAAAACCTTTCCTCCTCAGACTATTCCAAAAAATCCAAGAGGAAGGAACACTTCCAAACTCCTTCTATGAAGCCAGCATCACCCTAATACCAAAACCAGATAAAGACAACTCAATGAAAGAGAATTACAGGCCAATATCCCTCATGAACATAGATGCCAAAATCCTCAACAAAATTCTAGCAAATAGACTCCAGATGAACATCACAAAGATCATACACCATGACCAAGTAGGATTTATTCCAGGAATGCAAGGATGGTACAATATCCGCAAATCAATAAACGTGATACATCACATAAACAAACTGAAAGATAAAAATCATATAGTCATATCAATAGATGCAGAAAAAGCATTTGATAAAATCCAACACCCTTTCCTGATAAAAACTCTCAACAAGGTGGGAGTACAAGGATCATACCTCAACATAATAAAAGCTATATATGATAAACCCACAGCCAACATTATACTCAATGGGCAAAAACTAAAACCATTCCCTCTAAGAACAGGAACAAGACAGGGATGCCCACTCTCGCCACTCCTGTTTGACATAGTACTGGAAGTACTAGCCATTGCAATTAGACAAGAGGAGGAAATAAAAGGCATTCAAATTGGAAAAGAAGTAGTAAAGTTATCCTTATTTGCAGATGATATGATATTATACATAAAAAACCCAAAAGACTCCATTAAAAAACTAATTGACTTAATAAATGAATTTGGCAATGTAGCAGGATACAAAATTAATGCCAAGAAATCCACGGCATTTCTATACACCAACAGCGAAACTATAGAAACAGAGATTAAAAAAGCAATTCCATTTACCATCGCACCAAAAAAATTAAGATACCTAGGAATAAATTTAACTAAGGAAGTAAAGGACCTATATGCAGAAAACTACATGACACTGAAAAAAGAGATAGAGGAAGATGTAAAGAGATGGAAGAATATACCATGTTCATGGATCGGTAGAATCAACATCATCAAAATGTCCATACTTCCTAAAGCAATCTATAGGTTCAATGCACTCCCCATTAAAATACCAACGGCATATTTCACCGACCTAGAAAGAACTCTCCAAAAGTTCATTTGGAACAATAAAAGACCCCGAATAGCCACAGCAATCCTGAGAAAGAAGGGTAAAGTAGGAGGGATCTCAATACCAGACTTCAAACTGTATTACAAAGCCACTGTTCTCAAAACAGCCTGGTACTGGCACAAAAACAGACATATAGATCAATGGAATAGAATTGAGAACCCAGATATCAACCCAAATCACTATGCTCAATTAATATTTGACAAAGGAGGCACGAATATACAATGGAGTCAAGACAGTTTCTTCAATAAATGGTGTTGGGAAAATTGGGCAGACACATGCAAAAGAATGAAACTAGATCACCAACTTACACCATACACAAAAATAAACTCAAAATGGATACAGGACTTAAACATCAGACGGGAAACCATAAAAATACTAGAAGCATCCGCAGGCAGCAAAATCTCAGACGTATGCCAAAAGAACTTCTTCACTGATACTGCCCCTAGGGCAATGGAAGCTAAAGAGAAAATAAACAAATGGGACTACATCAAAATAAAAAGTTTTTTTACAGCAAAAGAAACCATCAACAAAACAACAAGAAAGCCCACAGTATGGGAGAATATATTTGCAAATAATACCACGGATAAAGGTTTAATCTCCAACATCTACAGACAGCTGATACAACTAAATAAAAGGAAGATGAATGATCCAATTAAAAAATGGGCAATGGACCTAAATAGAATATTTACAAAAGAAGACAGAAAGAAGGCCAAAAGGCACATGAAAACATGCTCAAAGTCACTAATTATCCGAGAGATGCAAATCAAAACAACAATGCGGTACCATCTCACACCTGTCAGAATGGCCAACATCAACAAATCAACAAACGACAAGTGTTGGCGAGGTTGCGGAGAAAAAGGAACCCTCGTGCACTGCTGGTGGGAATGCAGACTGGTGCAACCACTGTGGAGAACAGTGTGGAGTTTCCTCAAAAAACTGAGAATGGAACTCCCATTTGACCCAGTAATCCCACTTCTAGGAATATATCCCAAGAAACTAGAAACACCAATCAGAAAGGATATATGCACCCCTATGTTCATAGCAGCACAATCTACAATAGCCAGAATCTGGAAACAGCCTAGGTGCCCGTCAGCTGATGATTGGATCCAAAAACTTTGGTACATCTACACAATGGAATACTATGCTGCCATAAAAAAGAAGGAATTCTCATCATTTGCAGCAACCTGGATGGAATTGGAGAACATCATGCTGAGTGAATTAAGCCAATCAATGAAAGAGAAACACCACATGACCCCACTCATTTGTGGATAATAAAGATCATTATAAACTGATGAACCAAAAGATAGATATAGAGACAGTAAAGCAACAAGCAGATTCTCAAATTACAACGGGGAGTGGAGGAGGGTCTGGGGGAGACAATAAATCAACCCAAGGATTTGTATACATGCATATAAGTACAACCAATGGACATAAAACTCTGGGGAGGGAGGGGATACGTGGGAGGGAAAGAGGGGGGCAAAAAAAAAATCAATAAAATATGTAAAATAAATAAATTATTAATTAAAAAAAAATATAAAAAAAAAATAAAATAAAATACTTATGACATTTTCAAGTGTATATGGAAATTTCCAGGAAACTTAGTTACTGAACCAACATTTATTTAAGATATATGAACATACCTCTTCCTCCACAGACTGAAACTCTTTATCATCGGGAGACAGATCTATGAGAATTGTTCCACTTCCAGAAGTGTTCAGAGTTAAGTATGGATTAAGACCTATCAAATGAAATTTGAAGGCAAAAATTTATTTGCAAAAAAACCCCCAACCAACCAAACAAAAAACATCAACCAAAAATAACCTGATTTTATTTGATGCTTACTACCAAAAAAAAAAAAAAAAAAAAAAGTTTTAGATTTCCCCATTAATGCCCTTTTTGTACTCCAGGAATCAAAACAGAACATTACACTGAATTTAAACTACTCATTTGACCAGGCAGGTCATAAGGGTTTTGTGGGAATAGTTCAGAAAACCTTCCTATTTTTTTTTAAAACATATTTTAGTGATTTTACAGTGATTTTTACAGAGGATGGGAGATAGAAACATTGATGAAGGAGAAACATCCATCAGCTGCCTCCTGCACATGCCCTACTGGGGATGTGCCCGCAATCAAGGTACATGCCCTTACCTGAAATCGAACCTGGGACCCTTGTGTCTGCAGACTCACTCTATCCACTGAGCCACACCGCTCAGGGCCTTTCTACTCTTCATCGCCTATTCTTAATGAGTTTGTCTTCCTTAAATTATCTCCTTTATTAAATGTGCAGCATTTAATCCCTTTATTTTTTGTAATTATGAGGAAGAATTATGACAGAAGCTTACATGACCGCAAGTAATTTTAAATCATCCTAAAATAAGAACTCCATAAAGTTTACTATTGACTGACACTTATTGTGACCCATAATACCAGTAGATTCTTTAATTCAATACAGTGAATCTGTCTTATTTCCGGAATATCAATGGTCAAGATAACCACATAAATTTTTCTAACTTTACTCTCATAAAACTTTAAATGGAATCTTAAACAGAATTTTCCCATTTCTTTGGTATATTTAAAACAATTCTCCTTTAATATCTACAAGGAGATCTCCAAAGCTCTGCTGTTTTTCCAGGTAAGGATCAAGTCCTTTACTGTTGGGTCATGGCGGGTGGTTTGCCTCTGGAGGTTAAGAGCACTATTCGAATTCTGAGTTCTGGTCTGAATAACTGGATTACCACCAACATACTGCACTCTTAAGAAGATTTATAGGCATATCTGAATTACAAGGTCTCTAGGAAATTCAGAGGTGAATAGGTTACAGCAGAAACATTTAAGACTGATAAATGCTTGAATAAGGGATCTTTGGACCTCCCTGAAAAAAGAAGTTTATCAGTGTTGAAATATAAGGACAGGTAATTTATTGACTTGCTGCACTGAATAATAGCTAATAAGGCTTTTATGTCAAGGACCAGAGGTGGCATGGAGTAACATATACTTGCTACTTGAAGGCAGTATCTGTTTCTATCATGGTTTCCTGAGCTTTTCAACAGTCTTAATGACTGTGTGCCACACACCATAATGTAATTAATGTACAAACACTGCCTGCTTTCCTTTTTAACCCACCTCTTTCCATTACACTTGCTACCTTGTAAGTTGGTTTTACTGTAGTAGAGTCAGGATGGCAGTCCACAACTGAGAGTTCAGCTTCTTATTGGCTCCTACTCACTCACCTGCCTATAGGCCTGGTCGCCCCATGCAACCTGCTGTTCAATGGTTTGATAGTCCCTCACTAACTCCCCTGCTGGCCTGGTTGCCTTATGCAGCCTGCTTGTTAAGTCATCTGGTCGTCCCTCACTAACCCCCATGCGGGCCTGGTTGCCACACGCAGCCTGCTTTGTTCAGTAGTCTGGTTGTCCCTCACTAACCCCCTGCCAGCCTGGTTATAGGCAGCCATCTTGTGAGGGTGTGATGGTCAATTTGCATAGTACCTCTTTATTATATAGGATTCCAGGGAGCCATGGGTTTTCCCTTCTCTTTTTTAAAAAATTTATTTTATTGATTTTTTACAGAGAGGAAGGGAGAGGGAAAGAGAGTTAGAAATATCCATGAGAGAGAAACATCCATCACTTGCCTTCTGCACACCGCCTACTGGGGATGTGCCTACAACCAAGGTACATGCCCTTGACCGGAATTGAACCTGGGATTCTTGAATCCGCAGGATGCTCTATCTATTGAGCCAAACCGACTAGGGCCCTTCCTCTTTATCTTATAAATTTTTTGTCATCTATACTGTAAATATTCAAGAATATTTTTAAACATTTTGCCCTACACCCTACCATGTAAGTAGGATGCATTTACCTTTAATTGATCCTATTTCAGACTTCTAGTATACAGCATTCCTTAGCTTGTGTTACCTAAATTTTTAGTGGTAATCCTTTTCCGTCTTTAGGAGTTAGACCCTCTTCTGGTAGGTATACATTCTTTCCTGAAAATTTTCATTTTTGCTAATGGAGGATTATTTTCAACCCTAGTAGTAGAGCCAGGACTTCAATTTTAGGATACTTCTGACCACAGGGTAAATTATTTCCTCAATTTAACAATGAACTTAAGATGCGATTTCTGAAACTTAATTCACCTTTTATACTCAAAACCTGGTATATAGGAAGGGTTAACATCTGTTGAACAAATGCAATTTGCTTATTCCTCAAGCATCAACATCCAGGAGAAATAAAAATATTCAACTTTTATTAAATTTCCTCAGTTGCAAAATTATTGTTTCCCTGTATTTTCACTGCAAGTGTTTAGAATTTAACTATTTATTACAAAAAAAAAAAAAAAATTACAAACTCTTTTATGGGCAGTCCTGAACACTTAATCATTACCTATAAGATTTGAGATCCAAATTTCAGATCTTTTAGAATCAAAACTTTGGAGCTAGAATAATTTCAGAAATAACAGCGTTATAACAATTCCTAAATTTCTTAATGGCCCAGAAGTTTTCTTAGGTTTGCACAGTAAATAGCAGCAACTCAGGAAGCTTAGTAGTAGCAGAATTAAGACTTGATTCCAGGTTTCCTGGAGCTCTTCCTATTAAATGGACTCATAGATTTTTAAATCATTTAGTAAGTTGAGGACTGTCTTTATGGAAACTGTTAAACTGATGATAGCAATGATTTAACATGACATACCTTGTTGTCCAGACATAAGTCTCTCAACTCCTTTAATTAATTTGTGTCTATGTCCATAAGCATTGATTCCAATCTCCTTCAGTTCCTTGTGCCCCATCTCAACTAATACATCCAAAGTGATCTTGCAAAAGAGAATAAAATATTTAGAAGACTTCCTCATTTGGTGGACATTCATGTATTGGTGATCTCACAGTGGTCTAGATTCATATATTTACTTCACATTAATTTTTGAACAGCTTAGAAATGAAAAATCCGCTGTTAAACTGAAACAAAAATGAAAAGCTGCAGCTAATTAGCTAACTAGTAATTTAATTATACAAAGTTGAGTCATGAACTACCAAAAATATCACTATCATTTAGCATAAGAACCTAAGAACAAAGCAGCGAAACAAAAAATGTACTTTCAAATTAACCATATTTAGGTATACTATTATATCTTTTCCACCATCCTTCTACATCCAAGCCATTTATACAATGCTTTTCATTGTTCCTCCATGCTCAAGACGGTGCTTCTGCATCACTGTTCAAGTCCATAGTAACTGTTATGTTCTGAATAAAAAAATCTGTAATTATATTCTGACAGAGTACTATAAATTGGAGTTATTCTAGAAAAGACTGGATATATAAACGGTATATCTATAAGGTATCTAAAAAAAAATTTTGTACACACAGTTTGAAAGGCAGTGTTTATTGAAATACATTTCATTTTTAAAACTGAGCTATCAGCTAGCTGTTATAGTGTGTATACACTTTTTTGGAAGGCAGCTATGTTCACCACTATACCACCAACGCGGACCGTATACACTTTTTTGGAACACTCTGTATATAGAGGCTAGTGAAGCGTCAGGCTTACAGTAGGTAGTTACTGATAAAACAGAACTAAACAAAAAGGGCTCAAGGGTTAACTTATTTTTGGTTGAATAAGCTAAACTTTGCATTAAAAAAAGTTATTTTACTATTACTACAGGAGAGTAAATTTTATGTGCTAATAAACTGAACAGAAATTCTGCCGGGACCGGTTTGGCTCAGTGGATAGAGCATCGGCCTGCGGATTGGAAGGTCTGGGTTTGACTCTGGTCAAGGGCATGTACCTTGGTTGCGGGCACATCCCCAGTAGGGGGTGTGCAAGAGGCAGTTGATCGATGATTCTCTCTCATCAATGTTTCTAGCTCTCTATCCCTCTCTGTGAAAAATGAATAAAATATATTTAAAAAAACAGAACCCCCCCCCCGAAATTCTAAGATCAAACCAAATTAGAAGAGTAATTGATTTCTAGTCTCTTAAAAAAAAAAAAAATGCCCTCCTTATGCTCCAAACAAGTGGAGCATTTCAAATGTGCCCTACTTTTTTCTTGAGGTTCCATAAAACACCAAAACAAGCAAAAACAGTTAACCAACTCACCTGTTCTCGCTCAAATATATCCATTAGGTGTTCAAGCCCAAGAATTCTTACAAATTGAGTTATGCTAAAATCTACTCCTGGAACTGAAAAATAAAAAAATTCAGAACAAAAAAATTTCACACATCAGAATATATACCAACATTATAACAAAGTTTTATAATATTACAACATACACAAAGAAAGTAAAAATAAAGCAAAATGTGAATAGCTACTTGGGTTATAATATTGAAGAAAAAGTTAAAAATTACAAAAAACGCTGTAAGCCGGGACCGGTTTGGCTCAATGGATAGAGCGTCGGCTTGGGGACTGAAGGGTCCCAGGTTCGATTCCGGTCAAAGGCATGTACCTTGGTTGCAGGCACATCTCCAGTAGGGGGTGTGCAAGAGGCAGCTGATCGATGACTCTCTCATCGATGTTTCTAACTCTCTATCTCTCTCCCTTCCTCTCTTACAAAATCAATAAAATATATTTAAAAAAAAAAAATGCTGTAAGAGTTCTAAGTTCCCACAGAGCTGAAATTATTGTTATATGTAAATTTTATCTCCATTAAAGAAGCTTCCCTGTCTTTGAGCATGTAAGCTACTTCACAAAAATATTTTCACAATGTTACATAAGGTGAGCTAAATTTTGACAGGTAAAGGTTAAAGAGAACAGCTTTTAGAGACTGCAGATATGTGTGTCTCTTTTTATCTTTTTAAAATTGGATATTTGACATGGAATAAAAAGTATTCCATAAATCTGTATTCAAGAGGTAAATTAAGGCATAAATACTCAACCAAAAGGACTTCTAAACTTTTCAGAAAGCATATTTACTTCTAAAGAATAAGTTAACAGCATCAAGTCTTAACTTGAAAGGACAAAATGTCATTAGGAATTATAATAATGCTAAAACTTTCACACTATGTTAATCTGATACTAAGAATTATATTTAGATTTAAGAAAAAAGACTTTTTAGCATTCCAAATATCAAATATGTGCCTACAATGTAAGATATAAAGTTATTTTCATAAAATCTCACCCTCTTTTTTCTCCAAACTGGAAGCACCCTCTGTTCCACTTGAACTAACCACTGAAGACAGTTCAGAAAAGCTCCCAGATAAGTTATCGAGACTGCTGGCCGCAGAAAGACTTGATGGGCTGGATGGACCTGAAGACAGCGCATCTGCAGTGGCTCCAGGACTCCTCATGCCATTGAGCACTTGAGGTTTATAACATGAAGGCAGAGCAGAAGGGGGCATAGCTGCTGTCAGGAGAGCACTGACATCATCTGCCTAGAGTACATGCCAGAGAGATGAAATCTGTTAAAATTCTACTACACCTAGAAGAATGCACTTTAAAATATGACAAAACCATTGCAAATATGCTCTAGAAGTGCTTTTCAATAAAAAAAAAAATGATTATTTTAAAAAGTGAAGCAAATAAGTGATATTGAGCTATATTGTTACTCAATATAAAACATAATTCTTCCAAGACACAAAATCAAAACTGTTAAATGTGGCAGAGCATTAAAAAAAATTATAATTTTGATACAATGAAAGATAATTTAAAAAGGTAAAAGCTTGTAACATTTGCAATTACTCTGAAAGAAGTAATTTAACCTACATGAAACTTTAGCAAACATCATGATCATTTGTTTCTTAAAAAATGTTCAATGATATTTGTTCCTCAAAATTGAACCTTTTTTGGGGGTTAACAAAGATAATTATTTTAGTCAAATTTTCTAGAACTGAAAAAAATTCCCAAATTTTCTGGTAGGTTAATTTAATTAGTGACATATAACTTTCTTTCATAATGCTCAATTAGGACACTAAGTAATTAACTTTCAGCAAGAAGTAAATCAATACTTATTTTCATGGTTAGTGATTTATATTAATTACCCAATCTTTATCCTTTTGTTTCTCCCGAGTCTGAGGACTTTCATGGGACTCATAGTTTATTTATTTCCCCCCCCTATTCATCAGATTTTTTATTCATTTGATTTTTATATTCACTTATTGATAGATACATATTTGTTGTCACTTTGTTGTTCATAAGGGACTCATAGTTGCATGTAACATTTAAAAATAATATTAGTACCATTTATTTTTGGGTGCTTTTTATGCACCTGGTACATGCCAAGGACTTTAAGTACATTAATTCTCATTTTAACCAAATATATTTCATCCCCATTTATAGATGAGGTAACTGGGGCTTAGAGGTTAGGCAACTTGCAAGACTGTACAACTAAAAGTGGTACAGGTGGAATTCTAAGGCAGTCTGTTCAACTCTAAAGCCCACACATGTTCTCTAGAGCACTTTTGTTTCATTGTCAACTAACTATATTTGGTGGACTGATAAATGAGTGGACTGAACAAGTAAAGTTCACTTTTAAGGAAGTTTGGAATGGGAAAGACATATCCCGGGGGGGGGGGGGGGGGGAGGGGGAAAGTTGCAAATATGGTTGGGCTGTCAATCTGAGAAAAATCTACTTAACCTCTAATGTACTTAAACTAAATTAGCTTTTCAATGAAACTTGTAACAATGGAATCTCTCTCAGACTTCTCTTCCTACCTCAAGAATTTCTTTTCCTTTCCCTCACAGCTCTGATCAATTTCCCCAGTGGTGAAAACAAGACAGGTACCTGTGTTACAGTGGCTAAAGCAGAGGTAGAGAGAGACTATTATGGAGACTCCTGAGTTCCCTCAGGAGAGGAAGAAAAGACTTCCATAGGAAACTAGAGAAACAAGATTGTTTCATGAACAGTGATGGTGGGGAAGAAATATGAACTTTGGGATGAAGTGGTGTGGGAGGGAATCTACTAGAAGCAGGTTTTGTGGCTGCACCTGAGGGCATTGCTCCCAGCTGGAGAAATTCCTCAAGGCCCAGGGCCTGTATTACCCTGCACCTGTATGCCCTGCCAGTATTCAATGGGAGCTTGTGCCATTTTGTTTCCCAACTAATGTAAGTAGTTATACTTTATACTACTTTTTTCCATTTCCCTAAGTACTTAAAACATAATAACTAATAATTTTATTATTTAGTTATTATATTTTAATACAAAAAAGCTCTACATTTAAATTAGGCTAAAAAACAGATTTTACACATTCACCATGAAGACGTTTTATATATACCAAGTGAATTTTAAAAAGTTAGAAAAGCACTGAGATTTTTCAAAGAGCCCATCACTTACTGAAACTAAATCTAAAGGTGTTTGTCCTTCCTGATTTTTAAGAGTAGGATCAGCTCCATGGGCCAACAATAAAGCACAAAGCTGTGTTCGTCCCTTTTGGGCTGCTTCATGCAAAGGTGTGAAAGCCCATTTGTCCGTGGCATTGACACATGCATTATACTTTATTAGTAAAGCTGCTACATCTACATGCTGTAAAAGAAAATATTCCTGTTACAGTATGAAATTTTATTACACTTTAGTTCCTAAAAAGAAACTAGTCCTATTCCTACTTATCCATGTATTCATACTAGAAGTGAAAAACTATTTCTCCCCAACATCATAATTTATGGGTAGTTGGTTAAAAATTATAGTAGATATTTAAATTACTTGAGAAATTATCTAGAAAACACGAAGAATTTGACAAAGAAGTGAACTAACTAGTATGACTCTAATAATTTCTCAATATTCAGATGTTATAACTGCTGAACAACAATTTATATAAATAAGCAGCCTTCTTCGATTATCCAAATTATACTTCTGGAGATGGATAATATTGGTGGCAATATTTAGAGCTATAAATAAAGTCAGGTATAATGCATCTGAACTACATATTCCTATGAATCCCAATGAGTTGGGCACCAACAATCAATCAAAATGTTTTTTTGATAAAAGATCGCTGGGGTTAGAAAATGAATGACAAATGTGCTGTACATCTCACAGAATTGAAACTTGAAAGTTATTTAACCTCGTTAGCCCTCATATTTACTTCTCTATAAAATGAGAAAGTCAAGCTAAATTCCCATTGAACTGTAATACTGATTTTCATTTTGAAAATTTCAAAGACTTTTAAAGGTAACATGGAAGAACTTACCCCATAAGATGCTGCATTATGTAAAGGAATAAGTCCTCCCTTGTCTTGGGCATTCACATCAGCTCCGTGTTGCAACAAATACTCTGCAACTTCTAAATTATTATAGCCAGCTGAATTAGAAAAGAAGTAAAATTACTTTTAATTATTAATATAAAAACAGTTACATATAATTATAGAAATATGAAATTCCCCATTGGAGTCTATTAAAAAATTTATCTTATGAAAAAAAATCTGCACACTGGCCTCAAGTTAGAAGCTCTCAGGGATGATACTATTCATTTCAGAAAATCTGATTGATTTGATTGTATCATTTAAAACCTTCTTCCCAAAGCCCTAACCGGTTTGGCTCAGTGAATAGAGCGTCAGCCTGCGGACTCAAGGGTCCCAGGTTCTATTCAGGTCAAGGGCATGTACCTTGGTTGTGGGCACATACCCAGGGAGGGTGTGCAGGAGGCAGCTGATTGATGTTTCTCTCTCTCATCAATGTTTCTCACTCTCTATCCCTCTCCCTTCCTCTCTATAAAAAAAAAATCAATAAAATACATTAAAACAAAACAAAACAAAACAGAAAAACCTTCTTCCCAAAGTCCCTGCCTTCATGTTCTTATATACAACTTCCAGAATTCAGATATAGGGTCTCCCAGGCTGTGAGTTAAAGGCATTCAATCATATAAAAACTAAGTTAGGACCTCAATACAAAGCAGGAGAGAGCACCCAGCATGGGTCTTAGGACCCCAAGAACATGCTTTTATCTCTACAAGCCTGGCAGCAGAACCTATGTGTTGCTAAATCCACGAAGAGAAACAATATTTTATAAATATGCCATAACCTGTCATCTTTGAAACTCAGCCATCTTATACATACTCTTACGGAATAGTCTGACACATACAGATTGAAAGCAAATCTAGAAGTTAACTTTGCCAAAATAAAACCAGATATGATTTGAAACTTTAAAATAGTTGAAAATATTTTATCTATTTAATTTTATTGTAGTTTTTATCCTTTTGCTAAACGATCTAAGGCAAAATAATTTTAGTAAAATCAAGCAAAGAAAGACAAAACTACAAACCATTACTTATAAGCTAAGTATTTCACTGAATATACAAGCCCTTCTAAGTCTCAAGGTATAATACTGCCCAGGTGGGCAAAAATATTTTGTGCATACAAATATTTGCCACTTACAAAAACAACAGAATTAAATAGTGATGTTAATGTTCTAGATAAGCTTCCATAAAAATTTAAAAAGCTAATATAAATAAATATGCATGACACAATTCAAATCAGAGGTTAGGCCACTCTTGTCTTGCATGAACTAGAAACTCCTGATTGCCAGTAGAAGCAGAAAAGCTTTATCTCACCATGTGGCTTATAACTTCCAAAATTCTCGAAAAGACATAGATGGAGTAATACTTTTCCTCTGAGAGTGGGGTCTCAACTTACATGGGGGAGAAGTTAAAGGTAAGAATCATATCTAATCAAAATTATCCCTTAAACACTAGGAACACACTCATACTGAGACTGAAATGAACTGGGAGAATAGATTACACAGAGTGACAGAAACACTTGAATTACTTTTTTTCTCTTTTTAATCATGTTTTAGATAAAATTGTATGAGTCCTATAGGCACAGGACACAAATCCACTGAAGTATTAGCTGTGCCTCAGTTGATTTTAAAGGCTCAGTCTCTAGCACCTTCAATGTAGCTGAAAAAGCTGCACTGAAACCACAATATTGTATACCTGCACTAAAAACAAGGTGTACAGTGCTGAATTTTGAGTGAAAATTTAGAACAAATATGTATTCAAGTGTGTCCTCCAAAATTCCTACATTGAAGCTCTCACCATCAGTATACCTTAGAATGTGACTGTACTTGTAGACAGGGCCTCTAAAGAAGAAATTAAGTTAAAATGAAGCCGTCCTATCTGACTGGTTTCTTATAAAAGGCTGAGATCAATAGAATGAGAGACACGGGAATGTGTTCACAACAAAGAAAGGCTATGTGAGGACACAGCAAGAAGGTGGCTTTCTGCTAGACAAGGAGAGGGGCCTCAGGAGAATCTTATCCTTAACATCTCGATCTCCAGAACTATGAGGAAATAAATTCCTGTTGTTTATGCCACCAGTCTGTGGTATTTTATAACTAATATAAGAAGTAACTTTGGTGAGAGGTTTATGTAACTTCTTCTTCTTTTTTTTTTTTTTAGAGAGAGAGGGATAGAGAGTTAGAAACATCGATGAGAAAAACACCAATCAGCTGCTTGACTCCTGCACACCTCCCACCGGGGATGTGCCCACAACCAAGACACATGCCCTTGACCAGACTTGAACCTGGGACCCTTCAGTCCATAGGCCGATGTTCCATCCATTGAGCCAAACCAGTTAGGGCAATTTATGTAACTTCTGAAAGTCTTTTAAGTTTTTTTCCTGGTTGTGCTTAATAGCTATCATCAGGAGGAGGAAGGCTGGGTCAAGCAGGCATATTTTTCAAGTTTCTGTATGTAAAACTCACTCACCAAAAATGATTCAAATATGGTGATCTGAAATAAAGGTTCCAAAGCACACATGGTGACTGGCAGAGCCTCTTTTAGCTAACCTTACTGAATGTAACATACTACTACTAGAGTGACCATGAAGTATAGTTGCCCTGTACAAATACACTAGAGTGTAACAGTGGTATTAGGAGATGTTTGATTTGAACCCTTCACATTTATTTATAGAAGATATTTTACTCAGATAAAATGAGTCTTAGGTGTCACCAGCCTAACTCTGTGAAACTTCATTCCCTTACCTGCTAAATGTAAAGGTGTTGAATGTCGGCCTTGTGTATCACGGCAATTTACATTATCAGGAGAAGACAACTTCTTTACTCTGGCTAAACAACCCTTCTTGGCAGCATCTAACAAAGCTGAATCTCCCCTAAGTAGATCCTGGATATCAGTATCTCCATCTTTAACAAGATCCAAAGGAGTATTGCCATCCCTGTTTTTCTTTGTAGGATCTGCACCATGCTGGGCATGTGAAAAGAGAAAAAGAGGAACTGACTTAAGTTTGTCCTTGGTCAATGAAAAAAGTCAACGAAACTATATTAAAGAAAACGATTGCCTACTGAGACTCTATCTTAAAGGTTAACATGATTGTTATCAATGTTTAATTTAATATACAGAAAGTTATAATAAAAAGGAATATAAAGGCAATTAAATAGTTTTGAGGTTTAATAATGCAACACTATTCAAAATTTTAAACTACATTTCAAATAAATTAACTTTCAAATAAATCATTTTTAGTTTCCACACACATTGATAGGAAGTATAAATTTAACTTTACTCTTGTTTTTACTGTAAAATATCTACACTGGTACCTGTATTGAATCAGTACTATCAATTTTATTAGATTTAAATAAATCTGGCTTAGAAACAAGGAAGCATGGAGCAGAGTGCAGAATCTCGGAGGGAAGGGCAGGGAAGGTAGGGGGGTGGGAGGTAACCAACCAAAGACCTTGTATGCATATATGCATGGCTCATGGACACAGACAATGAGGTGGCGAGGGCCTGGGGCAGGACAGTGGTGGTGGGCTGGAAAAGGTCAATGAAGGGGAAAGAGAGACATATGTACTACTTTCAACAATAAAGAATTATTAAAAAATAAATAAATCTGGTTTATAAATTATGTAACCCATTATTTTGAAGTACTAAGAAAAAAACATAATCAGAGAACTATTAATATAACGATAGTTGACTTTATACAATAATAAATTTACTTAACACTAAGAAGACAAACAATCCAATTAAAAAATGGGCAAAAGACCTGAATAGATACTTCTCCAAAGAGGACATACAGATGGCCAATAGACATATGAAAAAATGCACACCACCACTAATCAAGAGAGATGCAAATTAAAATTACAATGAGGTATCACCTTACACCTGTTAGAATGGCTATTATCGGTAAATCAACAAAGAACAAGTGCTGGTAAGGTAGAATGTGGAGAAAAGGGAACCCTAATGCACTGTTGGTACTGACTGGTGCAGCTACTGTGGAATAATAGTATGGAGTATCCTTGAAAAATTAAAAATGAAACTGCTTTTTGACTCAGTGATCCCACTTCTAGTAATATATCCTAAGAATCCCAAAACACCAATCAGAAAGAATATATGCACCCTTATGTTCAAAGCAGTGTTTACAATAGCCCAGATCAATAAAATAGAAACAGAAACATGGATACATGGAACAGACTGACAAGTGCCCACCAGTGGATAAAAAAAGCTATGGTACATGTACACAATGGAATACTACATGCCTGTAAAAAATAAAAATCTTGTTGTGGCTGGTGTGGCTCAATAGAGCATTGGCCTGCACACCAAAGGGTCTTGGGTTCGATTCCCAGTCAAGAGCACATAATTGGTTACAAATTCAATCCCTGCCCTAGTTGGGGCTTATGTGGGAGGCAACCAATCAATGTGTCTCTCTCATATCTATGTTTCTTTCTCTCTCCTTCTCCCTCTCTCCCTTCTACACTCTCTAAAAAGGAATGAAAAAAATATTCTCAGGTGAGGATTAAAAAAAAAAAACCCTCAAAAAAACTCAGCTTTTGAGACAGTATACTAGATGGATCTGGACATGCTAGGTGAAATAAGCCAGCCAGGAAATACAAAAAACACATGATCTCACCAATATGTGGAATCTAATGAACAAAAGAAATTAATAAATTAGAATCAGAAGCATGTTACATGGAACAGATGGACAAATGTCAGAGGGGGGGGGATGGAGGGAACTGGTTAAAGAAGGTGAAGGGATAAGCTAAAGAACATATATGTATAGTCCATGGACACAGATAACAGTGTAGTGAAGGCCAAGGGAGGGGAAGATGGGGGCTAGGTGAAGGTGAGCAAAGTGGGGAAATGGAGGACAACTGCAGTATTATCAACAATAAAAGATCTAGCCAAAACTGGTTTGGCTCAGTGGATAGAGCATCGGTCTGTAGACTGAAAGGTCCCAGGTTCGATTCTGGTCAAGGGCATGTACCTTGATTGCAAGGCACATACCTGGTAGGGGTGTGCAGGAGGTAGCTGGTTGATGTTTCTCTCTCATCAACATTTCTAGCTCTCTATCCCTCTCCCTTCCTCTCTGTAGAAAATCAATAAAAATATATTAAAAAATAAAATAAAATAAAAGATCTAAATAAAATAAATAATAAATCTATATGTGATAAACACACTCATCTACACCAATAAAAAAGATGCAAATTGACCTTACCTCCACAATGACCACCAGCCAATCAGGAATATGCAAATTAACCCAATAAAGATGGCGGGTTAATTTGCCTATGCAGGTGGCTGGAGTGAAAGCCTGGGTCCTGGGTGCCAGAGGAAAACTGGTGCTGGCAGCCAGGGGAAGAAAGGCCTAATGCATGAATCTTCATGCAATGGGCCTCTAGTATTAAAATAATGTTTCTGACATTTATTCTGCAATCTAGGTAAAGAATTAGCTACTACTTCCTATTCCTTTATTAGTTTAAATTTATATTAGAATTATTAGAAATATTAAACATTTTAAAAATAATACACCCTGTCAACAGTAAGTGCTTTAAATATACCTGGAGCAGGAGTTTGCAAATTTCATATTTTCCTTTTGCTGCAGCTTCATGTAAAGGCGTAAATTTCCATAAATCGGCTACGTTAACTACTGCTCCATGCTTAACAAGAAGTTCTGCAACTTCATAATGTCCGTAAGAACATGCATTGTGTAAAGGTACAAGGCCTCTGAAAAAAAAGCAATGCAACACAAAGATATGTTTTAATTTAAATAATTACATATAGCTGATACCTTTCTTGAACAATTGAAGAGATTATACTGATTATATAGAACCGAAATACTTAGTGAAAGCATAGATGAAATTATTTTGGGGGGGCAAGAAGGAAATAGTAAAAATGGCAGAGAATATATTAAATACCTAAAATTGTATATTTTTAAAGAAAAAGAATCTTAAAACAAACTGGAAGAATTTAAATATTATCAAAGCAAATTAAAATATTTTAAAATCAATCACACTAATACTGTAATCTCCTTGGTCATTATAAAATACTGGAGGACTGGTGCATGCATTTGTGCACTGGGTGGGATCTCTCAGCCTGGCTTGTATCCTCTCACAATCCAGGACCCCTTGGGGGGATGTCAAGACTGCGGGTTTCAGCCCAGTCCTGGTCCCTGCAGGCCAGGCTGAGGACCACTGGTGAACAGATCCATGCACCAGATCTCTAGTATGCATATAAGATCTCTTCTTACCCTCACCCCTTTCTCCTCCCCTCTGAGATTCATCTGTCTTTTCCATGTTTCCATGCCTGTGCATTGAGCATCTGCCCCTGGTGGTCAGTAAGCATCAAAGCTACTGTTTGAATGGTCGCTTAGGCGCGCGCGGGCACGGACACACACACACGGACACACACACACACACACACACACACACACACACACACACGGCATTATGCAAATAAGTCTGTATGTAAATACTAACTATCATAAAATCTTAACTAAAATAAAGAAGCCATATTTAAGCTAATGTTAGGGAATAGCCTTCCCTGAAAATAAAAGAACTACCTATCTTAAGAATATTTTCAGATTTTCCTTAAAAAATCTCATAAAAAAAGGATAGACCGCCGAAACCGGTTTGGCTCTGTGGTAAGAGCATCGGTCTGTGGATTGAAAAGTCCCGGGTTCGATTCCGGCAAGGGGCATGTACGTTGGTTGCGGGCACATCCCCAGTAGGGGGTGTGCAAGAGGCAGCTGGTCGATGTTTCTCTCACATCGATGTTTCTAGCTCTCTGTCTCTCTCCCTTCCTCTCTGAAAAAATCAATTATATATATATATATATATATATATATATATATATATATATATTTTTTTTTTATTTTATTTATTTTTTTTATTTTTTTTTATTTTTAAAAAGATATAGACCATAGCAATGATTGGTACTTACCCTTTGTCTTTAGCATGCACATCTGCTCCATGTTGCAGCAGATACTCCACCACAGACACCCTATTATAGCCAGCTGCAAAATGGAGTGGTGTAGACTGACGCCCTTCGATGTCTCTGCAATTCACACTCTGAACAGTACACAATTTCTATAGGATGGAACATAGCATACATATGATGCTACATATTCTGGTTTCTTGTTTTCATTCACTTAGTAGAAATTTCAAATGTCTTGAGTTATTTTCTGCCCTCATCAAATCAGCATCCTCAGAAACTATTTGCTCTTTATTCTTATTTCATCTTGTCATTTATTGAGAATCCCTCTGTTCCTCCTGTATTTATACCTATATTATCTTCTTTTGCTAAAACTAGTAGGTTAATTTTATCATTACCAATATTATTACTTACATAAAGGTAATCTAAGTATCAATTATCAGCAATTGTACTTTGCATTTTTGGCGAATATATGTATCATCAAAGCATCAGTACCAATGGGGTCCCAGGTTTGATTCTGGCTAAGGGCACATGCCTGGGTTGTGGTCTCAATCCCTAGTACTGGGCATGCAGGAGGCAGTCGATCAATGATTCTCTCTCATCCTTGATGTTTTTATCTTTTTCTCCCTCTCCCTTTCTCTCTGAAATCAATAAATATATATATTAAAAAATCAAATTAATATTAATATTAGTAAAACTCCTTTCTCTCTCTTTAAAAATTTTATTGATTGATTTGAGAGAGAAAGAAAAGAGAGGGAAAATTTGTTGTTCCATTTACTTATGCATTCATTGGTTGCTTCTTGTATGTGCTCTGCCTGGGGATCAAACTCGAAACCTTAGCGTACTGGGATGATGCTGGAACCAACTGAGCTTATAAAAAAAATAAGGCAGGGCACCTTATTTCTTTAAAGGAACAAATGTATAGACGTATAGGTTCTTTAAACAAAATTAATTTCCATGAATATGCAATTTATTTAAATTTGTGACTGTGATGCATTTACAGAGATGCATGTGAAACTGAAGTTTCTTTTATTATTTAATGATTCTTATTTTCAGAGAACTAAATTGGCATTATTTACCTCTTAAAACAAGACATATGTAAATAACTAGGCTCTTCATTATAGCAGTACGGACTCATTAAACACTATCAAATTAAAAACACAAAATTAAAAACATAAGATTGTATCTTACTTTCACAGTTTCTACATCTCCAGCCTTTGCAGCTTCCAGCAATTGTCGGTCAGCTTCTGAATTACCTAATGGTATACCCTCTAAAGAGAGAGAGAGGAGGAAAGAGGAATTTACTACTTCGGAGGTAGAACCAAGCTTTAAGGGAGGAGACACCTTATCTGAAAGTAGAGTTTATTCAGATTTTGGTAGATTATGTAGGAAATCCTTATGAAAGTAGAAGAAAAAAGCAGTATAACAAGTTAGGAATAACAGCCAAAAATTCTAAAAATGTTTCCCTTTACTACCAATTCTTACATGGTATGTGAAAAAATATGGAAGTATATTAACAAAATTAATTTCATGGAAGCATGTAATACCTTGAAGAAGCTGCTGCACGTTTTCATTCCCCATCTGTAAGGCTGTAAAGCCCTGAAGGGATATAATATTAGGATCACACCCGTAGCTCAGGAGGAGGCGGCAAGTTTGTAGATGACCACAGTGTGCAGCTCTGTGCAGAGAAGTCTGACCGAGGTTATCCAGAGCATTAACCTTAATAATACAAAGCAGAAATTAGCCTTTAATGCAAAATTTAAACCACCCAATCATATATTTAGCATTTGCTACTAATTTAAAATTCCCAGTTATTCTCTTAAGAAGCTTATTCAAAGCAAGTATTTATATACAAGTTTAGAACATAAATTCACCAATTCATGATGGCTGACATCAGAAGGAAGTTCAATTTTGGATTAAAAGCGTGAGATGTTGAATAATAGTTGTGTTTAGCATTAAAATATTAATAAGTTCATTGCATTAAAAGCTAAACGTTGCCTAAGTCTAATCCATGTATTTCTATGGCTCTCTGAGGTCCAGAAATATGGACAATTACCTGAAGAGTAGTCAGTAACAAAGCCTGATATTAGATTAGCACAAAAACATTTATTTTTATTGGCTTAATCTTCTACCTTTTTAATTCATGTAAAATATAATCTACACACACACACACACACACACACACACACACACACACACACACACATATATATATATATATATATATATATATATATACACACACAATGGTATATTCACACAATGGGATACTTCTGAGCAATAAAAGGAGCAAAACTATTGATTAGTGGCTGAATCTCCAAGACAGTAGATTGAGGAAAAAGCCTTACACACGAGTATATATTGTATGATCCATAGACACAAAGGCCTTGAACAGGCAAATGTCACCTATGTAGGAAAAAATTACAAAGGGCATTCCCTGTCTCTGCCATGAGATAATGTTCTGTGTCTTGGTGACTTAGTAAATGTACATTTAAGATTTGTGCATTAAATTGCATGCAAATTTTACATCTAAAACCCTATAAATGAATACTGACCTCTAGATCAGCAGTCACCAACCGGAGGCCCGTGAGGTCCGCAAGGCTGGCGACCGCTGCTCTAGATGATGTCTATGTGGAAGTATTTGAGAAGTGCATAGTAATTTGCAAATTACTTTGAAATGTGTCAAGAAAATAAGATATACTGATAGAGGGAGAACATTAATCTAAGTGGTAGGTATATAATTATCTTCTATAAAGTTCTTTCAACTTGGTTGTACTTTCTTAAATGTTTCTAATTAAAAAATAAATCACCCGTAACATTCCCCATTCATCCCTACTCCACCCCTCTCCATCAAGGAAGTAATTCCTCAAACATAACTGAGAAATTAAGTTTCTCAGTAATCAATCCTGTGGCCACTAGTGTTTTAAGAAACTGCTCAATTCGTATTCATGGAAGTGAGAATATTTAAACAGGAATATAGTACGACTTTGTCAATGAATCCAAAGCTGGACTATACATGACTAATCTTCAGGCTTATAGGGCCTGAAAAGGCCATTTAAAATGCTCAGGGCAATTTATTTATTCATCTATGAAAACTCACTGAAATATGAAATACAGTCACTTTAAAAAAGCTTATTTGGGTACCACTTTATTTTACGATTAAGGTGACCAACTTTGTCCTAGTTTGCTTGGGACTTCCTGTTTTAGCACTGAAAGTCCTGTGTTTCTGGAAATCCCTCAGACCTGGACAAACCTAGATGGTTGGCCACCCTAGTTAAGACTGTTGCCTTGAGTTTCACAACTCAAGTTTAATATGCATCCAGATATTCTTCTAGTAATAAATCACATGTATAAAAAAGCAATCAGTGAAATGATATAGAACAGATAAATGAGATATGCCAAGCAGTCAAGCAGAAATAACTTTTATTCAATAATTTACAATAAGAAAGATTGAGATTATACATTATCAAGAATTCCCCCAAATCAAAGAGAAATTAAGACACTGAGAGGCAACAGAAAAAGAAATTATAGAATTCTAAGTGGTTCCTGGACTGGAAACCCCAAGGAAGGACAGACAGAAATGATTCTGCAAAGCGCATTTAGAGAAGAGCCTGGGGCCCACCCAATGGGAAAGGGTCTCAATCCCATTCTTCTCCCTTCATTCAGGCAGCTCCATTCTTCCTGTTTTATTGTACGTTCCTACTAAGGATTTTGTTTAAAGGCAATGATCAGTGGCTAAAAATTATAAAAACTGTTGAACTAGGTGACTATCAACCCAATCTGGGATGCTATGTGTATCTTTTACTAAGTATTATTTTTTTTAAAAGTTCCTGGGTAAGAAATTATAATTTGTTGCCTGGATGAAAATTTAATTATTCCACGAATAAAATACTTTGTGCACAAATGCCAACTAAAAAACAGTAACTTCCCATTTTGATAGTATTTATTTCCCAATATGGGGAACTATGTTTTTAGTCAAGAGAAATTAACAGAGGGTAAGAAATGCCGTGGCAGGGCTAAATAACAGGAGTTATCATAGAAATCAGGGAACAAAAGATGTGAGAAAATAATACTGGAAATGATTATAGGTCAGAATCAGAATGTCTCCAGCTGGAGACATTTTTCTGAATAATATAGTGCTAGAAAAAGACCTTAAGGATAACTTGACCAGTGGGGTATGGTTAATAGGAATAGAGAAGGAAGGATATATAGGAATAATGCATCTAGCAAAAAAAAAAAAAAAAAAAAGAGGAAAAAGAAAAAATATCTACAGGATTATTTTTAAATACTGATTCAGAGGAAAAAATACTTTTGAAAGAGTAAATAGTCTAGGAAGTCAGACATTTAATCTGCTAAGTAGAAAATAACTCATTGGATTACCAAATATTACCAAAAAGGTAATACCTTTGCTTCATGTTTCACCACAACTTCAACAACATCATTATGAGCTTTCTCAGATGCAACGTGTAGAGGAGTCAAGAATCTTAAAAGAGAAAAAACCAACCAGACAATAAGTGCATTAAAAAAAAAAAAGTCAATAATTTTTAATTATTCCAAGAATACTTACTCTTTAGTCTTTTCATTGATGTTCGCTCCTTTTCTTAGCAACAGTTCACATATTTGCTTTCTTTTGGGGTATGGAGATGCGGCAGCACAATGCTAGATAATTTAAATTGAGCATTAATCAAGCACTATATGACTACTTTTTATTTAAGAACACGTTCCCAATCTAGATTTTTTTCTTAAAGAAACAACTTTTATTTATTTTTTAATATATTTTTGTTAACTTCAGAAAGGAAGGGAGAAGAAGACAGAGAGAAACATCAATGATGAGAGAGAATCATTGATTACCTCCTGCATGCCCATACAGGGGATCGAGCCAACAACCTGGACATGTGCTCTTGACTGGAATTGAACCTAGGACCCTTCAGTCCGAGCCAAACTGGCCAGGACTAGAAGTTATATTATTTCTGTGTTTTATGTTTGACTTCAACTTTTTTTTTTTTTTTTTTAAATATATTTTATTGATTTTTTACAGAGAGGAAGGGAGAGGGATAGAGAACTAGAAACATCAATGAGAGAGAAACCTCGACCAGCTGCCTCTTGCACACCCCCTACCAGGGATGTGCCCACAACCAATGTACACGCCCTTGACTGGAATCGAACCCGGGACCTTTCAGTCCGCAGACCAACGCTCTATCCACTGAGCCAAACCGGTTTTGGCTGACTTCAACTTTTTTTTTTTTTTTAAACTTTGCTACTCAAAGACTTTCTATTGGATAGAATGTGCAACAATTACCAAATTCTGGCAGGGCCTGAAAATCTTATTCGCCTGATAACATCTATTACTAAATATTCCAATCAAGCTTATAGTTGTCCTACATCTTTGAAAAAGCCACTACTGATATTATGAAACATTTAAATTAATGATCTGTGAAAAAATTTAGCACAGATCATTGCCTTTAAATCTTTAATAAGAATGTATAATAAAACAGGAAGAATGGAGCTGCCTGAATGAAGGGAGAAGAATGGAATCGAGACTCTAACCCACTGGGTGGGCCCCACGCTCTTCTCTAAATGTGCTTTGCAGAATCATTTCTGTCTATCCTTCCTTGGGTTTCCCACTCCAGGAGCCACTTAGAATTCTATAATTTCTTTTTCTATTGCCTCTCAGTGTCTTAATTTCTCTTTGATTTGGGGGAATTCTTGATAATGTATAATCTCAATCTTTCTTATTGTAAATTATTGAATAAAATTTAAAAATTTAAATTCAGAACTGTTCCCATTGAGAACACTATGTCATTTTTTTTTAAGGTTAATTGACAAAACAGCCCAAAGACTGGGGTTTCTTTACAGGAAGAAATAACAGCACTCATCAGTTCTGGCTTCTGCTTGGTAATAGCACTGATGAAATAGTTGGCCAGGTGAGTAGTATTTGTTTCTCTTTCAACTAGTTGCTCCAGCAGAATAAGGAGTTTGGATTGTCAATGGTAGAAAATGATACACTTTAAGTTGGATGTGGCAGCATCTATGTGCATGATACATTAAGAAGGAAGGGAGACATGAGAGAGAGTTCTGCTAATTTTAAACCTAATAAATACCTCATAGTTATGCCCCAAATCTTTGAATGCCCAACATCCAGGATGACACTGATACACAATAGGTGTTCAATAATGAGCGCATGACTAAATCAATGAATGCAGATGTTAAAGTTGAAATCTGAAAATTCATGGAATAAAATTTCTAGATAATTGTTAAGCTAGGTTGTTTTATATATCTAAATAGACAGACACATGAAATTTATTCTGAGTTAAATCTGTTAATTACAAAACATATCTGATCGTCATGACTTTGTTTCAGATTCATTCTTTGATGTTGCTGCTGTCATAAAAATCATTCCTTTGCTCTCAATGAAACCATTTCTATATGGGGAACATTGTTCCTTTGATATGGTACAAGTAATTATCTCAGGACATCTAGCAGGACAGCACACAGAATGGAAACAGTTTATTTTCAAAAATTTGATCACATCTACTTCCAGTTGCTCCTATATCCATCTGTCCCATTCTGGGACAGGGCCTGCAATCTTTGGGAACCTGGAAGGCAGTGAGTGCCCCTGGAACCACAACTATGCAATATTTAGGGAAAACATGTAGCATTAGCTCAGAAAATTTTCCATATCGATCTTTCCAAGTTTCTCTGTACCATCTTAATGCTTCTATGATTTTAATTTTGCACTAGCATTTCTTATTAGCTTGCAGCTTTGCTATTGTTTTACTGGGTATTTTTTTTTTATAAGTAGCAAAATGCTCTAAAATGTTTTATAGATTTCTACATAATCTTCACACAGTTTACATCATAGCATAAGGAAGAAAATAATCATAAAAGTTGTCAAGTAAGTAAGGCTACTATGAGTTAAATTTGCCTCTAAACACATAAATTTACTTAGGGCCATCTTTCCTCACCCAAAACACAATCTGCAATTCATACAGCAGGACTTGGTTCCTTTTAAATTTCTACTTCTACGATGGCCTCTGATCATAGCATTCCTGTTCCTCTTTCATCACGTATCCTTGCTAGCTCCCATCTTTTCTGACTGCTTTTCCACAGACTGCCTGGTTCTCTCATTTAATTTGTTACAGTTCCAGAGTGGTTACTACCTCCATATGGGAAGTAGCCTCTACTCACACAGTATAGAGGAGAGATATACAGACTTTAGATCTCACTTTGCCCTGGTCGGTATGGCTCAGTTGGAGCATCGCCCTGTACAATGAAAGGTTGTGGGAATGGTAGGACCCACACCCGGGCTGTAGGTTTGATCCCCAATTTGGGCATATGGGAGGCAAACAACTGATGTTTCTCTTTCTCTCCCTCCACCCTTCCTCTCCCTAAAATAAATAAAAAGCATATTGAGTGAGAAGAAAAAATATTGTAGACGAGGAGGAGGAGGAGAAGGAGGAGGAGGAGAAGAAGAAGAAGAAAGAAGACGACGACAATTCTAGAAGAAAACCAAGTGACTTTTATCTTGGTGGTAGAATTGTTTTCTGTTTCCATTATTTTCTGTGAGTTTCAAAATTTTAATCATAAACATAATAAGAAAGCAAATTATATGAACCATTCATAATAAAAAATTATATACAATATATGCCAGCACATAAAACTTTTTTCTAGAAATATACTCAAATGAATAATATAATACTGCCTTTTGGGGTGAGGTAGGTTGTCTATTTTTCTGAAATACTTGAAATTTTTTAATATACATGTGGAGGCACTAATTTTTTAAAAAGCACAGATTTTAAAATGCTATTACAAAAAGAGGACATTATGGTAATTACCCTGTATCATCAGAAGAAGTAGGGCACTATGATTAGTTTTGCATGTTTTTGGTTACTGTATTGCACAAACTTAAATCTGAAACATTACCAATGCTGTTTCATGCGTTTGAGGATGCTTAAAATTCACCATTTCCAGAGAGAGATGTTTTTTGATTCGTGTAACGTCAGCTTCCCGTGCAGCCTGCAGCAAAGAATGGCCTTTAAATTCATCTAGATGAAGGAAAAGTATATAAATTGTATGAGAATTGTCAAATTGGTAAAATTTACCTAGAAAAAGACATAATATTTTCCTTCAAGTTATTTTCAAAATTATCTACCAAAATAGCCAAATAGAGAGTCTAAAGCTAGTCTCCAAATATAACCCTTGAAAAGGGAGACCGTGGTATTCCAGTTCCCCTGTTATGATCCAATATACACGGATTTAGCTGATGGCCACCTCAAAAGTCTATTTTGGTCTGGAAATATCTGGAGTACTGCAACATATTCCCAGACCAGAGAGTTCTCACAATTTTCCAAAGCATAGAAATTTTCTCAGTAAAAAAATTAAAAAGAGGGTGATCATAGTCTCTACACTAACATTACAGCAATAACAGATGGCTTTGCTCACACATGAGAGAACTGGAGACTAGACAAGCTGGATATTCCAAGAAGTACCTACTGCTAAACAAATGAAAGAGGGTATTTTCTCAATATTCCTCTCTTTTATTCCTCAGATTTGTGAAACCATGCATTGTCCTTTATTATTCCAAAATAATGTAAATTTCCTATTTATGTATAGCAAATTGTATCTGAACTAGGAGGCAATGTCTCACTACATCTATTTCAGCTATACATAGAAGACCACAGACCTGTCCAGATACCAAAAAATCATTAGAAGACAAAATCTGGAGACTAGATTTGCAAGATGGCATCCTACAAATAACATTTCAACTTCATGGCAATTTCCGTAGAAAGACACATCAAAGACAGGAACAAAACCCAAATTCTTTTCAAAAGCATACCACATATAAAATACATTTAACTTGACTTAAAAAAAGTATAAATATATTCTTTTCATCTTAAGAGCAGAATAAGTAGAAACTTCTGAATGATTAAAATATGCTAGTCTGAACAAAAGATACCCACAGCTAAAAATATCTAGAAACAAACAAGGATTTTCAGTTTATTGATATATCTTAGCTAAACATTCATCATTTTATACTCACATGCTAATCTTTCTTTTAATTGTGGTGTGGGAGCCAAGTCTATGGCACTTTTATTGTGACAATTCAGCAGTGTTGGATCTGCACCATAACTTAGGAGAAGAGAGCACACTTCAATCCTGTTCTTAGAAGCCGCCTCATGAAGAGGAGTGAATTGCCACAAGTCCATTGCATTTACACAAGCACCATGCTGGGGATGGGAGGGGTGGGGAAAGGAAGCACGTATTTAGTGTCCAATTTTTAAGAGAATTTAGAATTAGTAGTAATCTATAATATGACAGCAAGGAAATTTAAACAAGTTATGTTCCCAAAGTTCACTTTTTAAACCAATTTATTTCAGAAAAATACATTTTCTCCACATGAAGAAACAGTAGCTGATTGCTAGACCTATGCATAAAAGTCTATTTAACTCTTTATTGTTAAAAATAGTTGAGAATGAAGCTTTAGATTTAACATGCATCTTTTCCAAAATTTTTAATAATTTACATATGACAAAAAAGCACAGTTCTTAAGTTTATACAGTAGTCCTCCTTATCCATGTATCCCTAATGGATTCCTAAAACCATGGACAGCATCAAACCTTATACAATCAAACCTCAGTTCTTGAACATCTTTCTGTTCTCCATCAAGTTCTTCACAGAAAAAAATGTCTGGGTTGTGGATCAAAAACTCAGTTTTCAACCTGACAAACCCTTTCCTTCATGCTGATACCTCATAACACCTCTCAGGCAACAAACAAAGCACAATTTTAAATCATAAAGAGGCCATCAAGAGTGCTAATGTTGCTAAGGAATTAAAAAGATTCACAAAACAACAATCCCAGACAACATAGTAGGCAGAAAAACTTGTTTTTAAATACTATCAGTTAACCCAGTGGTAGGCAAATTGTGGCTCACAAGCACGCTGCTCTGTTGACTAATGAGTTTGTTAATGAGTTTACCAACCACTAAGTTGTGATAGTATTTTAGAGACACTTTCATTACCCCAGAATGTTCCCTCATGCTTCTTTTATGGACAATTCCCGTCCCCATTCTGACTGTTAGCAGCATATATTAGATTTATCTGTTCTTAAATTTCATAAAAATGGAGTAACTCAGTATGTATTTTGTGTCTAGCTTTTTTCACACAAAATGTTTCTGAGATTTATTCATATTGTCGTATCAATTCATTTTTATTGCTGAGTAGTAGCATCCATTGTACAAGCTATACCATAATGTACTTATTCATCATTCTGTCGATGGCATTTGGACTATTTCTCTAGTTTTTAACTATTATGAATAAGCTGTTATAGCTATTTATGTATAAGTCTCTTTATGGATACATTATTCTTTTGCATATACATAGAAATGGAACTGCTGGGTCATATAGCAGATATGTTTAGTTTTATTAAAAATTGCCGAATACTTGGAATGTCTAAGTTTCAGTGCTCCACTGCCTTGCTAACACTTGGTATTTTAATTTAGCCATTTCCACGTATTAGAGTTGGATGGACCACAGAAGTCATTCTAGTTTAATCTCTCATCAAACACAAAATCCTTTCTATACTTACCTATAAAAGGTGAACCAGTTATCTACTCTTAGTACTTTTAATCACTGGAAATTAATTCTCAACTAACATAACTTTTATACTTACTACATAATTTCTGTTGTTAAAAAGTTCTCTCTTACATTATGTTAATTATGTACTTTAAACTCTGATCTATTGGTCTTTGGAACAAAAAAGATTAATATTCTTCTTTGTAATATTTGAAGGCAACTCTTACATTTTTCCTTTCCAATCTAAACAGTTGCAGCTCCTTCACTCATCCATGGTTTCTAGACTTCCTATCACCTTTGTGGCCCTCAACTAAATATAGACTTCAGTTCAAAAAATTCACTTAAAAATATTAAGAGTCTAAAATGATAGATTCTCAATTGGTTGGATTACATAAGTACAATGCATCTGTTAATACATTTGCTCCTGATACTATACTTCTACTACTAGCATAAAATTATGTTAGCTTTTCAAGCAGTCACATCACAATCTGTTTGCATCATGGTCATGAAAAGCAATCTACATTGTTTGTTGTTAATGCCATCATGTGCTAGCCAGACTCATTAGCAAGGATTGCTTACCGACTGAGTTGTTGCCCAGGACTTCTACCTGTATTCTATCTCTATCTACTTGCTTTCTCCTGATTGTCTGGAACTTGAGTACTCTGGTAACTTGAGTACTCTCACCTCTATCTATATGTATAACCTCTAGTCAACTTCCCAAACTTATTTAGTAAACACTAGGTCTTAGAAAAACACCATTCAATTGTCTATAAAAATCTCATTGTAATCTGTCTGATTTTTCACTCTCATCCATAACATGCCAAATATTCTGAACTCAAGATTCAGTTTTACAATAAGCAAAAGCATTACTGCTATAAATGTATATAACAGCAAAAGCATTACTGCTATAAATGTATATAACATAACATAAATGTATATAACATAATAAATTCTAAAAGACTTATAGATTGTTTAGAATATCTCTAACCATTATAACAAATATTTATATGTTTCTGTAGGAAAATGTATTCTGTGTTAGCGCATGCTTAAAGGAAGCATAGAGCCATTGGAAACAAATGTCTTCTTTCTGTTCCTATGACAGCTGCTGAAATAGAATGAGGGAAATATTCAAGGGGCAGAGTGAGTGCAGAGTGAAAGAAGTTTAAAGAGAGTGGTCAAATACATACACAGAGACTGGGGGACAAAAATATGTTGGGGTATGGGTAACATCCTTGGATCCACTCTAAGAAGAATATATATCTTCTATTCTCATTCAATAGGAAGCAAAATAAGGAATTTCTTGCCAATCCCAGGAACCTGCTTGTTAAACCACAGCCACCCAGCATATTGGAAGAAGTAAAGCTATCCAAGCAAACCTGTTCCAACTCAAAGTACAACTGGACAAGTCTTACAAATGAAAATTGTAGTTTTAATATATGATTGACTAAAAATTGCTCTGATATTTTCTCTTGAAATTTCTTTTTTGAAATTTCATTTTCACTACAAATTATAGAATCACTTAATCTGTTATTCATAAGATGGTAGTGCTACTTTAAAATCTTAAGGAATCTCAAAAATACAATATCAAGCAGTCAGATGCTAACCTATCAACCATCTACACTTTGTAATAATTATAAATATTACTATATCCACTAAGCACCAAAAACACATAGAAAAACAGATACACTATGTATTTAAAATAACTTATATAATTATAAGAAAAGTACAACAGAACTAACCTTGACCAGAAGTTCAGTTACTTCATAATGACCATAAGAACAGGCATTGTGTAAGGGCACCAGATCACTACAATATGAGAAGGGGAAAAACCTGTTATTACAGATTCCCTAGATTTAGTCATTTCATTTAAATTTATAGTCATACTTGAATAGTAAATTGTGTATGTGACCTAATAAAAATGTACAAAATTTTAATAACATCCATTTGAACCTTAAGTCCTAGCAACTCTAATTTCCAAGTTTCTTTCAATACATTTGATCATCCTTCCCCCTACCACTTCACTACCATTGTCTTGGTTTGAGCCATTATTTCTCCCTGTACTACTGAAATAATCCCTTCAATTTGTCCTTGAAGCTATAGACATATTTTTTCAAAAAGTTACCTGATGTAGTTACTTCTTGTTTTAAGTCCTTCACTGGTTTTTCCTCGCTTTCAAAAGACCTTTCCAACTACTCAACCTAGCATACAATGATCTGATGCTCTCTAACTTTCCCTTCTATAACAGTATACTAAACCCTGAATGCCTTTACCCAGAACTATCCACTGGGCGTAGGATGGATTTCCCTCCCTCCTGGCTTACTTCTATACATCTTTTCCAAACTCAGAGCTCAAACTCTAACTCTTCTCTGAAACTGTTTTTTATCATTCTGCAAGGTAGATTGTTATATTCTTTAAAAAAAATATATATATTTTATTGATTTTACACAGAGAGGAATTGAGAGGGATAGAGTGTTAGAAATTTCGATGAGAGGGAAACATCGACCAGCTGCCTCTTGCACACCTCCCACTGGGGATGTGCCCGCAACCAAGGTACGTACCCCTGACTGGAATTGAACCCGGGACCTTTCAGGCGACAGGCTGATGCTCTATCCATTGAGCCAAACCGGTTTCGGCAATTGCTATATTCTTTAATAAAACTAAAATCCAATTCCTTCAAGATGACAATGGAAGAAGAATTTTCTATATAGAAGGTACAGTGGAACCTTAAAATCTTAACGTATTTTTAAGCTGTTCTTCCATGGGGATTACTCAGGGATATTACTCAGGGATTACTCAGTTAATTACCACAGACATCATCATCTCGATAGCCTCAGGTGAGTGATGGCACATGACTTTCCTTACCACTTCTGGTTATACAATTTCTTACTTAGCTGAGCACTAATTTAATTTCCAACTATCTTCTAGCCACCTCCACCTGCAATCCCAACCATCTCATAAAACCAAGAATTCTAAAGGTGAACTCAATGTTTTCCCCTAAAATAATTTTTTCTCCTAGATTTTAGTATGTGTATCATTGGGTTTCTCATTCACCCTGAAAATCTGAAATGTATTTATCTTTTAATGCCTTCTTCTCTCATCACATCCATTCAAGAAATCTTGTCAATTTTTTCACTATATTATCTCTTGCACTGCCTTTTCATTTCCATTTCCTCTGCCACCACTACTATAAATCTTCACTATGCCCGAATCCCTGCAATACTCACTTTCCTAACTGCTTTTTTGCTTCTAGTCTCCCTTGCCAAACCATCCTACGCATTGCTGCCAGAATGCACTTCCTAAAACACCTCTTTCAGAATCATTCCCCTTGCATAGGACCTTTCAATGGCTAACATGGCTCACAAAATAAAGATTGAATTCTTTTTAATAATATTTATTTTTACTGATAACAGAGAGGAAGGGAGAGGGAGAGAGACAGAAACATCAATGCTGAGAGAGAATTACTGATTGGCTGCCTCCTGCATGCACCATCCTGGAAATCAAGGCCACAACCCAGGCACATGCCCTGACTGGAAATCAAACCCTGATCTTCTGGCTCAGATTGATGCTCAACTGGAGCCATGCCAGTAGGGCAAGATTGAATTCTTTAGACTAAAATACCAAGCCCTATGAAATCTTGTTCTTACCTATTTCTCCATTCCTAACCTTCATTTCTCTATGAGAATCATCTGCTTTAGTCAAACTGGTCTAATCAGTGTTTCCTAAGTATGCTGTAATATCTGTTTTAGCACCTCTTCTCAAACCAATTCTCTTGCACAGTGATGGTTCCTAAACTCTCTTTCTTGACTTGAGTCCAGGTCAAGTACCATCTCCTTTTGCAAAATTTCCCAATCACTATAGCCATTACTGAGTGTTTTCTCCTGTGAACTCCTGTAGTAGCATCCCTTTCTATCACCTCACACTTAGTAGAGAACTTGTATTATCAGGTAAATTTTCATGCCCCCTGAAGTGTAGTATAAGCCTGAGTGGTTGCCTTAATGTTTTATAATTCACTATGCCCTCAGAGCTATCTGCATATTATAAAAGCTTAAAACATGTTTATGCTGTTTGGTAAAAAATGTGATTTTTATAAGGTCACAGAAGTTACTGTAAGGATAGTTTATATTTATTCTTTTTTAAAAATTATTATTTTATTGATTTTCCACAGAGAGGAAGGAAGAGGGATAGAGAACTAGAAATGTCGATGAGAGAGAAACATCAACCAGCTGCCTCCTGCCCACCCCTCGAAACCAAGAGCTGATATGATATAAGAACATATCAGCATTCTCATAAAATGTTTTAATTTATAATAAGATAAATGTACTTTCATGTTACCAGAAGATAAATACAAACTTAGGGGGAAAAGAAAGTACCTTTGGTTTCGAGGTTTTGGTTTTGGTTCCCGAAACCAAGGCACATGCCCTTGACCGGAATCGAACTGGGACCCTTCAGTTCGCAGACCGACACTCTATCCACTAAGCCAAACTGGTTTCGGCGATAGTTTAAGAAATCCTAATTTTTGTTGAAACACTTACCCTTTATCTTTAGCATGGACATCAGCTCCATGTTGCAATAACAGCTGTACAATCTTTACTCTATTGTATCCTGCTGCCAAATGCAATGGAGTTGACTGAAATATCAGAAAAATTAATGAAATTTGAATACTGGCTGAAAAAAACGTGTGAAAGCTAAAAATATAAGACCAAAGTCCCCCCCAAAAACCTTATAACTTTATTGTCTAAATAGTCATCAATTTGGTTTTGAAAAAATTCAACACATATACTGAAGGGAAGTATAAAAGTTTATAAATTCATTATTACAAACAGGAACTAAATGTTTATTATCAAAAAAGTTTTAATATGCTTAAGAATTAATCCAAATTATTGCTTATAAGAACATATCAGCATTCTCATAAAATGTTTTAATTTATAATAAGATAAATGTATTTTCATGTTACCAGAAGATAAATACAAACTTAGGGGGAAAAGAAAGTACCTTTCTACCATCACTTGCATGGCAGTTGACATTTAATGGTGTGAGTAGAGCCATCATTTTTTCCTCATTGCCACTCCTAACACACAAAGAAAGTTTATTAGCAACTTCTTTTTTTTTTTTTTTTTTAGCACATCCCATATGAAGACATTTATGTGGACATTTAAAAAAAATGCATTTTTTAATAGTTTGCTTCTTGCAAAAAAAAAAATAAAACATTTAAGTGATGAAGATTTCATGGGATATATTTATAACATACCTGGCACTTTCTAAGAGTTCGTCTTTCTTATATTCACCTGTGAACCAGAGGAAAAAAAAACAGAACAAAACCAGAAATTAAACATTTCAATTACAAATGATAGTTTTATACATAAAGATGCTCATTGAATTATATTTAAAGTATTTAAATTTGAAAATAAATTCCCAATAAAAGGAAAATGGTTAATCAGTAGAATACTGTACAGCTTAAAAATACTTATATGAAGAACATGGAATACTTTTGTGATAAAAGTGAAAAAAATTCAATGATATACAACGAAGTGTCACTGCAATTGTATAAAAACAATATGCACAGAAAAAGAAAGCCAAGGAACAAATATACCAAAATTTTAACAAAGTTTGTCTCAGGTGGGAGTTTACGGGTGAACCTTTTCTTTTCTTTTTTCTCCTTAAATTATTATAGAAAACCAACATGCTATTCAAGTAACATACAAAATGCATCTACAATTTCATTCAAAAGCCAACAAAACAAAATCCAATATACCAACATTTAGAAATGACAAGATAATCAACAGCATCAGCATCACTAATTGAACATAACCATTAACCTTCTTATGAACCCAAAAGATTTTTCAAAACTAAAATTATTATTATAATGCTTTTTTAAATAGACTTCCATATCTGCAGGTTTTGCATCCATGAATTTAACCAATCTCAGACTGAAAATCATATTTTCAATCCACAGTTGGGAATCTATGAATTTGGAGAGCCTACAGTATGCATTGATTTGCACCTTCTTAAAGAACTTGAACGTCCAAAAATATTTGTATCGATGGGGGATGAGGGGAGCTCTGTGGACAATGAGGGATAACTATATATAAATAAAAACAGGATTAAATATAAACTCTTTATGCCTATAGTTTTTATATTTGTAACACAAAGAAACCTTTACAATTAATACAGTTTAAATAAACATAATTTAACAAAATGGATAGTGTTTACTGATTTGCTGAAATGAAATTCAAACTGCTGCCCACAATATGAACTGCATATTGGTTACTAGTGCAAGGTTTCATTTGAACTCCAAGGTTTTTTTAAAAAAAGATAAAAACAGGGAACTGCATGGAATAGGGAAGAAAGAACACCAATTTTGAAAAAAAAGAAAAAAAGCTTTACCTTTCTTAGACAAGAATCAAATGTCAACTGTACAGATGTAGAAAAAAAATAACTGACATTATTTTAAAAAATCTAGTTGAGGTCATTACCACAGGAAGTTCATTCTTTATATTCTTTCTGGAATACCCAAAGAGAGTACACAAACTTACCAGTCAGCACTGCTTTGGCGGATGGGTCTGCTAAATCCAATGCTGTCCTTCCATCTGTATTTTGGATGGTCGGCTCAGCTCCATGCTGCAAGAGCACTGAAAAATAGCAATACTTTTTTCAAGATGGTATTGATGACAATTTGATTTTAGACTCAAGATTAAAGATCTTTCATATCCCCAAAGTGTGGTAAATGTTTTCTTTTAAAGATAAAAATATATAAAGCATTTTATTACCTACTGTACTATACACATTTAATGTATTATACACATTAACGTCTCCTAAGTTCAGTTAGATTTTCCTATGCTAGACAAATGACTAAGGACAGATAAGAGTGTATGAGAAAATAAAAGGCAAGTCTGCTTGAAAGTTTCTTTTCTTATTCCAAATAATACTGCCTATGTTAGAAAGGTTGTTCTATCATAACAGGCAAACTCTTAAAAAAAGAAAAGAAGAAAACACTCTGTAGGGTTAACAAATTCCAAATCAAAACTATAATTCAAAGCACATAAAAGAAAAGACCTGTGCTATATGCTGTATTATTATTTGTTATTTAAAGACATTACAGCATACTCGACAAATAAGGAGCTGGGGGAAAGACAGGCAAGTACATGCAGAAAGGGAAGCCCAAAGTCCATTCTTTGATTGAGATACTGTTCATTCTACTCTATTCCTATCTGTAACAGTACTATGCAACAGAAATAAAATGTGAGGCATTAATGTGAACTAAATATGTAATAAAAAATGAAAATGGGCCAAAACGTGTTTGGCTCAGTGGACAGTGTTGGCCTGTGGATTGAAGGGTCCTGGGTTCAATTCCAGTCATGGGCATGTACCTTGGTTGCGGGCACATCCCCAGTAGGAGATGTGCAGGAGGCAGCTGGATGATGATTCTCTCTCATTGATGTTTCTAACACTCTATCCCTCTCTGTAAAAAATCAGTAAAAAAACAAAAAACAAAACAAAACAAAAAACAGGCTAAATTTTAATGCATTTTATTTACCCGACATACTGTCATTTCAATATTTATATTTATATCATAATCAACATAAAATTGAGATTCTTTGCATTTCCTTTTTTCATATTAAGACTTTGAAATCTGGTACATTTTCCCCTTAGAGTAGATCTCAATTTCAAGATGTCCTCAGCTACCATACTGGATTGGATAGTGCAGATATATAACTATATTTAGAAAACCCTACATATTAAAACTAATTATTTATATATCAGAGACTAAGGAACTAGTAAAAGGCAGTAGCAACGTAACAATTTAAGATAATACATTGGGCAGAGGTTACTAGGTAATTTATTTCGTATCTTTATAAATTACCTAATTTGAACTAAGATGGTGACTTTAAACAGTGACTTGGGGTTTGGAGGGTAGGGGAGAACAATGTAAGTCCAGCACAGAGCCCTGAACTTTTCCTAGTACACAGGCTTTCTATTTGCCTCAAGAATTTCAAATGTCCCTAAAACAGGAAATAGAACTAAGGTAGCAGAGTCCCAAAATCCCTGACTATGTTAGGTTCAGAAAAGTCAATACCAGGTTAATTAAAATTCTCCAATCAAATAAGCAGCCTTCTCACTTATACTTTTCTGTCAATGATCAAACTGTTGAGCAAATCTTTTAAAAAAAAAATATTTTATTGATTTTTTTACAGAGAGGAAAGGAGAGAGTTAGAAACATCAATGAGAGAGAATCATCGATCAGCTGCCTCTTGCACAGCCCCTACTGGGGATGTGCCCACAACCAAGGTACATGCCCTTGACCGAAATCGAACCCAGGACCTTTCAGTCTGCAGGCCAACACTCTATCCTCTGAGCCAAACCGGTTTCGGCTGTTGAGCAAATCTTATCTTGTTTGTTAAAGTATTCTAAATGTCTGATTTTTCCTTCAAATGCTTCTTTATCTATCCTGCCATTTCTATTCTCCTATAATAACCCTAGTTCATAACCTCATCATTTATCTGGGTTATTCTACAGTTTCCTAGCTAATCTCTCTGATGCCATCCATTCTAGCAGCCACGTACCACCATTCTACCTGCCACATACCAGATCACTCTTGATAAAATACACTATTTTCATCACACTGCTATTCCCTTCCTTAACTGTCTTCATAATACCAAGCTCCTTAACTTGGAATTCAAAGTTCTTCATAAAGATGTCCCTGCCTACCTTTTCAACCTTTCTCCCACTGCTTGTTGGAAAGACTCCAGGAAGGATTGACTGGACTCCAGCCAACCCACTGCCCTCATTATCCTCGAACACTCCCTGTTCACTGTCATGACTTTATCTGGTTCTGTGTGTGTGCTATCTCCCAAGAGAATCCAAATTTCCAGAAAACAGGAATCTTGTCTCTATTCTCTAAAGAGCTTAAGCTCAGTACTATACACAAAATGACACTTAGTAATAGTGTTTAGCTTAAATCATGAATTGTTCTTAGGTATTTAAATTCAGCCTGGCAGAATTTGATCATATTAATGAATGAAGTCAATTAGATTCACAACGGTTACACACTATTTCAGGAAAATAAACAATCTTACCAATGCAAACATCAATCTTTCCTTTAATTGCAGCTTCATGAAGAGGAGTGTAATTCCAATTATCACGAGCATTTGGGTCTGCCCCATGTTGCAAAAGGAGAGTGACTACTTCAGCATGACCGAAAGAGCATGCATTGTGAAGAGGAATAAGGCCCCCATCATCACGTGCTTGGACATTTGCACCATTCTGAAGCAAATATTCAACTACATCTTTCCGCCCAAATCCTAAAAGAAAACAAAGAAAAATGCATAAGTTAAAACCAATAATTAGAAGCCATGCTAAAATGTTTCTGGATGGGAAATAGTAGAAATTCAACAATTCAAGAATTCATTGATGAGATAAAGAGAGATTCAATACTGACACATATGACAATACTGAAATGGAAATTTAACCTGGGTAGAAAGGGTGAAGTGATTATATTTACGTATACCAGAGGCCCCATGCATGAAATTCATACACGGGTAAGGTCCCTAGGCCTTGCTAGCAATCAGGGTCAATCTGTGGGTCCAGCCTGGCACCGCCTGCTTGCTGGCCGCACTTCCCACGGCTGGTGGCCCCCCTCTGCAGGGTGACCGGCTGGGCGATCAGGGGTGGGGATGGGAAGGGGAGGACCTGCTGGTTACCCGCCTTGGCTGGCCTGGGGGCAACTCCTGCATTGGATGTCTGCCCCCTGGTGGTCAGTGCATGTCATAGTGACCGGTCGTTCCACCATTTGGTCGATTTGCATATAAGGCTTTTATTATATAGAATAGTTACAAATAGTCCAAGACAGATAAATTCTACTTCTATAACTTTGTATCAACATGATTCCTCAGCCATTAAGATGTCTGAAACCCATCTGGAGACCGACAGCAGAGATCAGCATGTTTCAAAGTCACATTGTGGAATCAGTTTGGCTCAGTGGATAGAGCATCGGCCTGAGGACTCAAGGGTCTCAGGTTCGATTCCGGTCAAGGGCATGTACCTTGGTTGCAGGCACATTCCCAGTGGGAGGTGTGCAGGAGGCAGCTGATAGCTGTTCGATGTTTCAAAGTCATATTGTAAGGACTGTAACATGTGAGTGGAGATCATGTTGGTATGCTGAGAGTAGATGAAGAGTCTGAAACATTAAAGCCATTTCTTGGCATAAAAGGAAATTAGAGGGGGTGAGTATGTAGCTATTTAAAATTTTAAAGTCTTCCACTGTTAGGAGTTTAATGAAACTTTTAGATTCAAGATACTTCCTAAACTTTAAAGGCTAATCCTTGATGAAATCCCCATTCTTATAGTCTCAAAAATAGCTCAAAGTATCTGTTCAGAGCTCATTTCTTGAGGAAAAATTGCTTTGCAGGTTTTTTCCCCCCCTGATCATGTTCTTACTGGCCAGACAGAACATGAATAGGCATATCCTTAGAATCAATGCCAACCTCCATATTCTAAGGATCTCTTTATAAAGGAATCAGAAGTCTAAAGTTAGTAATCATGGCTGCTTAATATTTATTGTGGTTTATTTTATAATTATGGAAGAGCAGTCATCTTTAAACACTGCTCAATGTCTATGTATGAAGATATAAATGAAATCACTCATTGTTGAATCTACTATAAAGCACTAACAATGAAACAAAACAGGAATATTTGGAAAGCATATTTGTTGATCAATAAAATATTTGTGTCACCTAATGGCATGTATTATACTGTGTCCTGTTTATTTCTTTTTACTGGCCAAAACCAGAATCTAGCATATAGGTCTTAATAAATAATTGTTTAGTACATGTCTAATATTTTGAAATAGTAAGCAAATGACCCTCAGAGAGAATATGGAGCTGATGATTTGTGACCACAAAGAAAAGCAGTCTATTCAATTTCTTTTGTCAAGTTTCATCACTATCTAGTGCCATCAGTTTTAGCAGTTCCAGGAACTGTTTTGTTAACTATAACTATTATTAATAGCATCATATTTTGCTGCTATACTGGAACATCCTTTCAACTGAATGGCTTCCAAAAAAACCATAAACCAGTGGAGGTCACTACTGAAAAACCAACTTAAACTCTCAGAAAACCTTACTGAGAGCTGCCACCTCTCAGTTTTTACAGTCCAAAGACAAGATGAGCCATTGATGATTTAACTGGTTTAATCCTATATGATAAAAGCTCAATATGCAAATCTGACCGAATGGCAGAATGACTGGTCAGCTGGGGGCGGGGGGAGGGGAGGCAGGGCCTGCAAGTGGGCAGTGCCAGGCCAGCCAAGGTGGGTGCCACTGGGCAGAGGGAGAGGACAGCAATCAGTGGTGGTAGAGGGGTGATGGGGGGGAAGGGGCTGGAGCTGCCCCCTGGTGGTCAGTGCGCTCCTACAGGGGGAGCACCATTTAGCCACAAGCTGGGCCGACAGCTGGTGAACTCAGCAGAAGTGGTGGGAGCCTCTTCTTCCTCTGTGGCAGCGCTAATGATGTCTGACTTCGCTAATGATGTCTGACTTCGGCTTAGGCCCGCTCATCCCCACCCCCCATCAGCTGGTCATCCCCTGAGGGGTCCTGGCCTGCAAGAGGACGCAGGCCAGGCTAGAGGACCCTCCATCCCCCGAATTTTCATGCATCAGACCTCAAGAATGAAATGATAGTGATGCCTTGAGAAACTAAAGGTAAACTGGAGTCATACACAGCTTTATCAGAAAAAAAATACTTAGAAACAGGAAATATCAATAAATGCAATGAAAGAGAAAAGGCTTGTGTAGTCTGGGAGATTGGATGCATAATCAAGCAGTCTTAGGCTCTTGTCAGGACTCCTGTGAGATTTTTCTGAGGGATGTCATTTTAAACTTACTAATAATTTTAGTTAGCAGAAACCAAGAAAGGTATTTTCCACATATAGTATTTCTTTTGAATGAGGAATACAAGTTAGAAGGTTTTGCCCAGCTCAACTTAGGACAATATACCATCTATATGATCAGACTAAGAGAAACGTGGAAGAGAGAGCCATGACCTCTGGACTGATTAAATTCTATCTATCTAAATGGGGAAGTACATACTCCTAACTAGTTGTTAACGAAGTAAATCACCTACCTCTAAGTCCAGCAAGAGTTGAGGAAAAAAGTGTAGCTCAAATCTTGATAATATACAGGGAGATTTGTTAAGTCAAGAAAGATTCTGAATTCTTAAATATATTGGTGTTTATTTTATACTAGAGGTCTGATACACAAAATTCATGAATGGGTAGGATCTCTAGGCCTGGCCAGTGATCAGGGCTGATCTGTAGGGTGACTAGCGAGATCAGGGGTCCCCCCTGCTGGCACCCGTGTTGGTCAGCCTGGCAACACCCATTCGCTGGCCCTGGCCCCTGGCCCCTGCTTTGCTTGGCCTGGGCCCTACAGGTCGGGGGAAGCTCCTGTGTTGAACATCTGCTCCCTGGTGGCCAGTACACATCATAAAGACCAGTCATTCAATTTGCATATTAGGCTTTTATTATATAGGAGTTGGGTTTTCTACTGATGTAGGATTTTACTCATCTCCCTTTACACACACACACACACACACACACACACACACACACATGCACACAGCAAAAAAGCAATCTTGGAAACAATAATGTCTAGTTAGTTCTAGTCCTAGATAAGGAATGGAGGTACATTTTATGAATCTCCATAATTATGATGTTGGCTTATAGACCATAGAAGGAAATACTATTGAAACGTTATTGGATGTCTTTAAAAGTACCACTATCAGAAAGGATATGAACGGTAAGTATAAAAGGTATTATATCTTTGATAGCTGAGTTGTTAAAACCTTTAGTCGGGGGAATCATTCCACTTTGTTATACCAGTCAGAGTTTGACCTGTTGGTTCAATTGTCCATCCTATGCAGAAATCCTTTCTACAACATCTCTGAAAGATGCCAACCCAGCTAATTCTATAGCTAAACAGATTGTTAAAGGGAATCTGACTCCCTGCAACTTTCCATCCACTGGTACTTGTTTTGACTGAGCTGAAGCTATACAAGTCATATCTATTTACTTTTCTACTGGAATGTCTTAAAATATGTGAAGACAGTAATACTGTGTGACCTTAGTCTTTCATCTCTAGAATAAGTAATTCTAGTTTTCATCTGTTGCTTGTATAATAAATTACAAATCACATAATTGAATACAATAATTAAAGTTCAGTCTGACTGATCCAATGTTCAAATACAGAACAGTAACATAACATACTACAAATACAAAACAACTGTTACCTTGCTTATGTAGAACTCTACAATGCAAGGTCTTTTCCAACTTCTCATTCTTTTATATATACATGTATATAGGACTTAATAAACATTTGTTGCTTAGTGATGTCTAATATTTTGATATGTATATCATCTTCTGCCACCATTTCTATATCTAAAATTCTTGAACCTGATAATAAATGGTTTTGCACATTTCTCTGCTGAATGATCTCATTGCACTTTCCAAAATATTTAAAACTCTCAAACCATTGAATTCTATTTTATCTGCCCCAGTTCTAAGATCTTAGAGAATGCTATGTATTTCTTTGGCTATGATGAACAATAAAATGACTTTCTCCCAAAATTTCTGTCCCTCTTCTTTATTTTTCAGAAACAAGTTCAGAGCAGCAATAGCTTTACTGAATACTGCTCTTTTCTAGGGGATTACACTGTCAAGCATTTCAGATGCTATTGTTTTTAGCAAAATTAAAGCTACAGCCTCTCTACCACCAACTTGCCTCTACAAGTTTCGCGACATGTCACAAAAAATTCATTCATATCCTCTGTATGAGGGGTGGGGTGTGGGGGTAAGGAGAGAATAAGGAGGGAAGGGAACTGGTGGTGGTGGGACTGAAGAGGAAACAGTTTTTTTTTTTTTTTAAAATAAAAATGACTTCTTAAAGTATACTTATCTATAAGGATTGTAATCCAGTTTATATATATATATATATACATACACACACACACACACACACACACACACACACCTAATAGAGGAAAACTTCCAGTTCATGTTGATTGCATTTTTCATTAACAGAACTCCTTTGGGGAGGGCAACTGATTATTCTTTTAACTAAATGTTTTAGATGAAAAGACACAATTTTTTCTGAAACTGTTCTTCTATCCATTTTCTTTGATCTGCACAGACTTATTCCTATTCCTTGGACATCAAAGCAAAAAGACAAAAATCATGTTCCCCTCTCCCACCCCCAGTAAAACCTCCAAACTTTAATTAGCTAAAAACAAAACAAAACTGTTTTCCTCCATTGCTAACTTTGTAATGTACAAACCAAAGAGACAGCTTGGTCAGGCAGCTACATAGTCTCACCACCTATGTTGAGCTTCCAATGGCATGTTTAGATGCACATTAACATGACTGATAACTCACTGTCCGGAGATATATAATGTATTCTCCATATTATAAAAAGAAAATGTAGCTGGATGCATTTACTTAAAAATTAAGAAAACAAGTTCTCTTCCATTATCTAATAATTTAGATAAAATTTACAAAGCTAATTTAAAAGTTTTTTGTGTGATGTGGCATTTCCAACTTCTACATAATTTGGGGAAGGACTTTAAATTTAAATTTTTTTTAAAAAAGTAAATTTATTTTTCAATTATAATTGAAATACAGTATATTATTTTTATTTGTACAACACAGTGATTAGACAGTTACACATGAAGTTATATGCTTGCTTTAAAAAACACACACATATATATATAAAAATGTAACTTTATTGATTTTAGAGAAAGGGAGAGGGAGAGAGATTGAAACATCAATGATGAGAGAATATCATTGATTGGCTGCCTCTTGCATGCCCCGCACTGGGGATTAAGCCTAAAACCTGGGCATGTGCCCTTGACCAGAATGGAACCTGGGACCCTTTAGGCTGCAGGCTGAAGCTCTATCCTCTGAGCCAAACCAGCTAGGGCTATGCCTGGTTTTAAATGCAAGACTTTAAAGCTCTGGTATATGTAAACCATTAGCAATTTTATTTTATTATACTTTTTTATACCTTAAATTCTTAACTGTATAATCCGTACCTGATAATGTGGAAAACTGTGAGGGGTGGGCCTGTTCTAAAATCAATTTTCCATTTCAGTCTGAATAAACCTATGTAGAAAGTACTTCAAAATGTTGGGGCAGACTGAGGTTGGAATGGTGGGGGAGGAACAAAATCAATAAGAAGCTAATCCCATAATCTTAAACCTCTAAATATTCCTATTTTCAGATATGAACTCATTAATACATCAAATTCTTGAAAGGTAGCAACTAAGATCTTCCTTGGTTATTTTTATCCCACAGATCAAGTGAACAGAATCTAAGTAACACTACCCTTTGGATTACATATCAGTTGGTTATGGCAGTTTGTCCAATCAGTTGTTTAAATGTTGACTATATGGTCAAACAGGACAATCCAAATTAGCTGAGGAAAGGCAGCTCTGCACACCAAAATTTTAGGCAAAATGGCTAAACAGCTGAGATTTGACTTGAGCGTTCTTAATCTCTTTCTGCTGCCCACAGGCTGTTTCTAGTTCCCTCACCAACAACCCCTCAAACCTCTCTTTAAAAAGGCTCCCCACTGGGAACCCAACGAAGTTGTAATTAGTCAAGAAAGCATACCTCCTAGTAATATTTACGTTTTAAAACTGGTAGTAAGAGTGATGTCTGTGAACAAGGAAACCTTTCTTACACTCCTTCTTTGCACATCGTTCCTATCCCAAAAGAAGGGAGTGCTTTAAAATATAGTCTTCTGTTTCTTAAAAAACTATTTTGGCCTGGGCTGATAGCTCAGTTAGTTAGAGCATCAGCCCAATATGACAAAGTTGCAGGTTCAATCCCAGGTTGGGGCACATCCAAGCATCCACCAATGAATGCGTAAATAAGTAAAACAATAAATCGATCATTTCTCTCCCTCTCGCTCAAACCAATAAAAAATTATTTTAAGCAATCAAGTAATACATCAAATAAAACACCAGGATCATCAGAAGTATGAAACCCTAATTCCATTTTCTATTTTCCATTATGAGAACAGGGATAGTCACGATCTTTACTAAAAGTGAAAAGTATAGAAATAAGCTGAGTGTCTCATTTCTAGTTCTTTTAAATTCTTCAATGAAATGTAATATGCTTTAATATGCTTCTATCATAAAGTGAACCTAGTAAATACTGAAAGTCATTCAAACGATATAAATCTCAGAATGAAGCAAGGTCAGTCCCAATGTAACTCTAGATCCACGCTAAATTATCTGCACCATTTTCCCTCTTATTCTACTACTTTTCCATCCCAAGGGATGTGTGTGTGTGTGTGTGTGTGTGTGTGTGTGTGTCAGAGACCACCATCCGGATCCAGCCTATAAATCAGACCTCAGCTCTCCCGATTTTGACCATTTCCAGTACTAATAACCTCTCCAGAAACTTGCTATTGACTTCCTGGATAAACCCATTCGCGCCAATGTGTCAATGGCCCATCAAGCAACTCCTTCTAAAATTACATCTTTGCATCTTACACCGGCCTTTAACATCTTAACCAAAGGATTGGTAAAAATCATAGCGGAATTTGCAAGAAGGGCAGATTTTGGAGGTCTACCTTTCAGATCACAAGGTCTCTACCACGTCCCCCTCTTTCTTGTGTGCAAGAGGGGCCTTCTGGGGGAGCAAGACCGGAAGTTGACGCGAGGACGGTAGATACAAAGCCAAGCCACAGAACACACACACACCTTCCGGGGAGGTGTGCGCGGCACGCTCCCTCCAGCCCCTGCCCCAACCTCAAGTACCCGCCTGGAGGAGAACGGGAAGCCCCGGCCCGGAGCCCCCGCGGGGAAAGGCCGGGCAGAGGAGCCCGCGAGCCCGGCGCGCAGGTGGGGTTGGGCGCGCGGCGCAGCGGGGCGGCGACGCCCGGGTTACCTGCGGCGAAGTGGAGCGGCGTGGACTTCCTGCCCGCCGTGTCGCGGCTGTTCACCTTCTCGGGCGTCACCAGCCTCTTGACCCGCTCCACGTCCCCGTTGCGGCACGCCTCGAACAGCTCGCGGGCGGCCGGCTCCATGGCCTCCGCCGCCGCGCCCGCGCAGGCCGCGCCCCCGCCGGCGCAGCGGCGGCCCGACATGATCCTGGCCGCCGCCGCCGCCGCCGCCGCCAGCAGCAGCGCCAGCAACGGCAGCAGGAGCCCGGGCCCCGCGAGCAGGAGGGCGAGGCCCCCGGGAGGAGACGCACTCAGGGCCCGGGCCGCTTCGGCTCCCTCCGGTCACCGGGGTCGGCGGCGCAGTCCCATGGCCGCGCCGCCGCGCGCGCCCCTCGCGACCCCCCACCCCGCGACTGCCCCCGCGGCGGCGGCGGAGGCAGCTCGAACCGGACGTTCGAGACCCGAGGCGACGCGGCGGCGGAAGCGGGGAAAGACCCTCCCGCCGGCGCCGCGAAGTCCTGGGAGCGCGAGTGACGTCGTGTGGCGCGTGCGCAGTGGGCGCAGCCCGGCCGGCCCGTGGCGGCGAGCGAGGGCGCGCGGAGGGGCTTGTGGGAAATGTGGCCGCGGGAGGAGGAGAAGGGGTCTGGGCCCACCGCCATCTTGGCGGTGGGTTTTTACTAAGTAGAACGGCTCTGCTTATTGTCCTTTTTTTTTTTTTTTTTAATTTTATAAAGCGTGAATTTCCTCGGCGGATGGTCTTACTCTTGAATTTCCTTTCTTTGTTATGCCGAAAAGAGCCTTTGAAAGCGTCATGTCTCCCCCTCCCCCCGCGATCTTGCATATTATTTTGGAATTCTCACTATGGAAGTTTCTTTTTTCCAGCTTCCACAATCCCTTTCTCCTGGGGGACTTAGAGACTGCTTTCCTTTACTGTTTTTTTCCCCTGCTCTCCACCTGATGGGAAGTTTGGGTGCGCGGTCCCAAGGTTATTTTATTGAAATTAGGAAGACTATGGAAGTTTGTTTTGTTTCTAAATTAATTGCGAGGTATGGCTCTGGTTAATTATTCTTTCCATAGTTGAGTTATTAGCTGAGAACCTATCCAATGGCCACAGGTAAACCAGTATTATACTGACTTAGCTGAGGTGTGGATGTAAGGGACAAAGGTTAGTGAACTGCAAAATAAACTCCTTTGTTGCCTGGACTTCTTTAACCTGTTTTTCAGGTTTTGTTTGGAAATGTTGCCTCGCTACTGTGCTAAAAGATAGGGGATGTACACTTTTGGCAGCATTTTTATAAATATGAAAGTTGTGAAAACATGTATCCATTGGAATCTATATGTATAAAAGGCTAATATGCTAAGTGTCTGACTGGGTAATGACATCACGTAGCAATGCCCAGCTCCCTCTCCCTGGCAACTAGCCTCCTTGGAGTTTCTTCACAACTTGCCCAGGAGCACAACCTGCTTTATAGGCAGGTGGAAACATTTAGCCAAATGTCTGTGAGGCTTTTTCCGTGCCTTATCTCATTTGATCCTCACAGAAGTCCTGGAGTAGGTAGATGGGAGACTCGATGGAATCCTATTTTCTTTTCATTAGCTGGAAAACAGAGATTTACAAAGCTAAGGAATGTGACCTGACTGAAAAAGAGGAAAGAAATGGTAGACTTTGAAAAATGACTTCACTGCACAGAATATAGTCAAACACTGCTGCAGTTAAATATTTCACCCTTTGTTCTCCCTGTGTGATCTACAATAATAATCTGCTTCATGTTGATATTGACTGCTGACAATTACCTGAAAGAGAAGTTGGGGTGCTTCACTGGGCTGGAAAATGTTTAGCTAAATCAGAAAGCAGGTCTAATTAAGCAAGTTTATTCTATATCTATAAAAGGCTATGTTGACTTGCACATGGTGCAATACATATAAAGCTCTCGCTGGTGCCAGTCGCAAGCATGTGCTTCTATCTGTCGTCGATCGTGAATTTGGTTGACACTTCTATTATAGAGAAAGGGCAAATAGCGATATTAAAACATTTTTTCTAATTTCTTTTCAATGTGCACAAATTCATGCACTGGGCCACTCGTTTATATATATAAAAGCTTAAGCGACCATTACAACAGAACAACCCTAATGACCGGTTGCTATGATGTGCACTGACCAGGGGTAGATGCTCAATGCAGAAGCTGCCCCCAGCCTGTAGGTCCCAATGGCTGACGGGGCTTTCTGGCCAACCGCCTGTTCCCTCCCCTTGGCTGGCAGGCCCCCATTGCCCAATCGGGGCTGGTAGCCAACCTCCTGGGTCCCTCCCCCAGTCCCTTCCCTCCTGCTAGCCAACCTCCTGGTCCCTCCCCCTGGCAGGTCTGATTACCCAATCAAGGCTGGGCTCTGGGCTGAGGTGGGGAACCGGGGGTGGGTGACGGTGGTGGATACCAGTGGTGAAGGAAGGAGGGGGGGAGGTGGGGAGGCAGGGATGCTGGGAACCTGATTAGCCCTGATTGCCAGCCAGGCTGAGGGACCCTACCTGTGCACAAATTTTGTGCACTGGGCCACTAGTTATTTATAATAGCCAAGAGGTCAGAGCAACCCAAATCCTGTCATATGCTGAACCTGTCATATGTGAACTTTGAGGACATCATACTAAGTGAAATAAGTCAATCCCCCTTGCCACCAAATACTGTATGATTCCACTTATATTAGGTGTATTTGCTAGTTAGGGTTGCCATAATAAATCCCACAGAATAGTTGGTGGCATTTTAAATAACAGAAATTAATTTTCTATAGTTCTTGAGACTAGATATCCAAGATCAGGGTTGGCAAGTCTTATTTCTCCTGAGACCTCTCTTACTGACTTGCAGATAGCCTTCTTGCTGTGTCATGATAGCGTCTCTTCTCTAGTCATATGCATTCTTGGTGTCTTTGTGTCCAAATTTTCTTGTAAAAGGAAGCAAGTCAGATTCAATTAGGGCTCACTCATGTGGCCTTATTTACTCTTAATTTAATTTTTAAAAATATATTTTTGTTGATTTCAGAGAGGAAAGGAGAGGGAGAGAGAGATAGAAACATCAATAATGAAAAAGAATCATTGATCGGCTGCCTCTTGCAGGCACCCCCTCCCCTCCCACTGGGGATTGAGCCTGCATCCCAGGCATGTGCGCTTGACTGGAATTGAACCTGGGACCCTTTAATCCGCAGGCCAATGCTCTATCCACTGGGCCAAACCAGCTAGGGCTTAATTTCATTTTTAAAGGCATTCTCTCCAAATATAATCACATTCAGAGCTACTGGGGGTTAGGACTTTAACATGAATTTTGGGAGAGGGTATTATTCAGTTCATAACATGATGCAAAAATAAAAGCAAAAAGTTGAATAATGGTTAGTTACCAGGGTCTGGGGAGAAGAGGAAATAGATTTATTGTTGAATGGGTATAGAGATTCAGTTTTGCAGCATGGAAATTTCTGGAGATCTGTTGCACACCATGAATATACTTAACACTACTGAACTGTACATTTAAAAATGGGTAAGATGGTATTAAAATGCAAATGAGTTGGATATCTTCATTGTTATGGTCTATTTGTATTTTTCTGTTGGGTTGATTGGTGTTTCAGGTTTCTAAGGATATATTCCTAGAAGTGGGATTGCTGGATCTAAAGGCAGTTCCATACATCTCATCCTCCCTCCCCCTCCCCCTTTTTAAAAAATATCAATCAGCTGCCTCTGTACACCCCTTACTGGGGATGTGCTCGTATGGTCACATGCCCTTGACCAAAATTGAACCTAGGACCTTTCAGTCTACAGGCCAACATTCTATCCATTGAGCCAAACCGGTTTCGGCAGGAATAGAGATTTAAAAAAGACAATAAATAAATAAAAATTTTTAGAAAAATGAGGCTTAACCTGGATGAATAATACTAACTTGCCATGAAATTAATATTTTTTGTTCAATGCTATACACATGAGATAAAAAAATTCACCAAGGTATAACACTTTTTGAAGGAATTCTATTTTTATTTTATAATAGTTAGATTGTCAATACCAATTTAAAATAAATGAAATAAATTTAACATTTTTCTTCAATCTTTTTTTAAATGGCAAATTATCTTATTAGGTTAATGCAGAATACATTTAATAACATTTCTATTTCTATTTTGCTCCAATCTTAAATAAAATTTGTCTTCAACATGCTTTATTAATATTTATTTTTAAATTATGTATATATATTTTTCTCATTTGTTTCTTGACAGCTCAATGACAAGTTCTCATAACATTCATAATTTGCCATTGGGCACGCTAATTACTATATAGTTGGGATTTAGAGATCATCATTTATTTGATTTTTAAAAATGAGAAATTTTCCTCTTCAGCAATATAACTTTCCGGCATAACCAATATTTCACTGAAGGGGAAGCTCTAAAACTCTGTGGTTAGGGGTTGTACATTTAGCACGATAGATTAACTTGAGGCAGAAAGTTGTACTCTTTAAGAATAACTAGAGAAGTTGGTTTTTTAAAAAATTCTCTTTATGCACATTGGGAAGCTGCTAAGACAAGTAAGTATTTGAGAGGTCAAGATTCTGGAGAGGGGAAAACCATAAAGAGCTGAACTAGCATTCCACAGCCATGTTTTTCCATGGGGAATTTCACAATTCTGTGCTCAAGGAATGTGCTGGTAACCAATTAAAGTCTTGGGCAAAGGGAAACTATCTGCTGAAAGGCAGAGAAACCATCAGAGCTATGCTGTACTGTGGGAGTGATGAGATCCGGAGGCAGAAAGAACTTTGGGAGAATGGCAGCTTAAGCTTGAGTCAGCTCAGTCCCTGATTGGACTAAGGCAGTGGTTGGCAAACTGCGGTCCCTTGAATGTGGTTCTTCCACAAAATACCAAAATACTTTGGGTGTGCACGTACAGTGCGATTGAAACTTCGTGGCCCATGCGCAGAAGTCGGTTTTCAGTCTGGGCGATTCTATTTTAAAAAATATGTATATTTTATTGTTTTTGTACAGAGAGGAAGGGAGAGAGATAGAGAGCTAGAAACATCGATGAGAAAGAGTAATCAATCAGCTGCCTCTTGCACACCCCCCACTGGGGATATGCCCTCAACCAAGGCACATGCCCTTGACCAGAATCGAACCCGAGTCCCTTCAGTCCCCAAGCCGACGCTCTATCCATTGAGCCAAACTGGTTTCAGCGCGATTCTAGTTTGAAAAAGTGGTTCAAGGGACCAAAGAGTCGCATGTGGCTCTTAGCCGCGGTTTGCCGACCACTGGACTAAGGTGATCCGGTCTAACTTTGCCTCTCCAGGAGGGGAAATGGTGAATGCACTCTGGAGATTTCCTCATTCCAGAGCTTCTACAATTTTTCAACACAATATCTAAATGTCAATCAGAGAGTACCAGGCATACCAAGAAATAGAGAAAAATGACAAAAACGTAAGAAACAAACAGGTGATTCAGAGTTATATCAGTAATCTAGATACCAGTCAAATATTAAATATAATTTTGATGAGTATATTTAAGAAAATAGAGCCTAGCCTGTGTGGCTCAGTGGGCATATGCCTGGGTTGTGGGCTCAATTCCTGGTGTGGGAGACAGCCAATCAATGATTCACTCTCATCACTGATGTTTCTATCTTTCCCTGTCCCTTCCTCTCTGAAATAAATTA